ATGCAGTAATATGCTGGCAACTAAGATGGCGAAATAGAATGTTGCCGTCCTTGCCGCAAGCTGGAATGCGGCACCAAGAGATTTAGTCGACGTATCAGCAACATATTCGAGAGTCGCAATGCCTCCAAAGGCGACAGTCCAGGCCCCAATGACTGTGTGGAAGGTGTTATCCCAGTCGCTTCGGTGAAGAGCATAGTGAGTTGCCAATGCTAGTGACGCAATTAATGTTTTGCTGTGCACAAGCTCCATGATTCCGTACGACATGATAGCTGATGGAGAAGGAGATGAAGAATCTCGAGAGATGTTGGAATGATGAAGGGGTTGCTGAGAACATGAGGAGCTGAATGGAAGGTTGGACCCTGAAAAGCTGAACATTTGGACGGACCGTACGAGTGAAACGCACGATCTTGGAAATTCGTGTTAGCACGCGCGGCTGAGAGGTACAGGTAAGTTTTGACCGGAGCTGAGGGAGCACAAGATTTTAACAATCGCCATTGTGCTGCGGCGTAGTTGACCTCGGGATGCAGCAAACATTGCCTCTGTCATGCTGTGCCTCCTATGCCCAGGTCTGAGGTGGATATTTTGGAATGCGCCTGCGGACCGTTAGCTTGCAGGGATTACGTGCTACCAAGCGGGGCACTAACCTGATTGAGGCTGCTTGGCAAGAGCTCCTTGCTTGACAATCGCGTCGCTGCACGATCTTTCTTTTCAGAACTCTACCAATCTCCAATTACATGCCGAGGTCTCAGCCCCGAGGTACATCGAACGGTGTCACGACGCGCTTATAAAGCCACCACAACGTGAAACTATTCTCCTAACAGAACCTTGCTGATAAGCCCTAGGCTAAAGACATCCCGAAGCCTTGAATGTCTCTCGGACCTGTCGTTGCCAAGCGGTCGTTAAGTCTTCCTCGCTCGATCGAACCCTGTCATCTCCTGACTCGCAATTGCTGTTGAACATCTTTTTTCTGGAGAATGCACGGCTGATGGATATGCCATTCTGCACGGCGACTCGGTAATGCACCTGGAAGTCAAGCCTGGAATCGATGCATGAGCCTGATCCATCCGCTAGCTTGCTTCGTGGTTGTGCAAGCATGTGGCACCGCATGTGAGATATTGTATCTGCCACTCTTCGCAGCCGCGGACGATCAAACTTCCACTGTACGTTGAGGTGTTCGAGCGTTTCGACTTTCAACAACGGTTCGATCCAGGAAGCGACCCATGGTCTTGGCCCAACGGTCATCTGTGCTTCCCACAACAAACACTCTTCCGCTGAAGAAGGCGCAGTGTCATAGCGCTGATGGGAACTGCTGATCATTAGATGAAGCCTCCGTAACCCCATGCGCGTGGTGGACAAGAGAGTACAGAGGTCCGTGAAGTGGTTATAAGCGAATTGCAGCACAAGCGAGTCTGTTGACCTGCGGAGAACGGGATAATGAGCTCCAACGGTGCCTCTCATATTGCTCGCTTCCACTAACGCAAGCTCCATGGAGGAAATAAGCTTGAGGGATTCGGCAGGCCTGTCGCACAAGAACGCGAAAGCGGTCGGTATACTGAGGCTTTCCGTAAAGCTGAACATATTCTGTCCATAAAAGACCTTTCTAGCTTCATGATAGATCTGCCGGCATGTTTGCAACAACCGAATTTCGATGTGGTTGGACGACGTGTCCGATGGAATTGCAAGTTGATATGTCATTCGGATGTTCGTAGGCCCATCCCTTGAGTCGTACTCCGCGGAGGTCAGACCAATGTCGAAGCGAGGTGTCAGCCAGATCCGTCGGTGGGCGCGTAGACGTCTCAACGGGTAAGCTCTCTCGAGACCACGGGTACTGCGGCAAGCCGGGGCTTCCAATAGGACGGCTGCGCTTTGAACAGGAATCACATCGCATACGAGGACGTATCCATAAATAAGATCTCGAAGCTCCCGCGGAAGTTTAAGAAGTCGCGAAGACATGGTGGCACAGATCAGGGGTTCACTGCGCAGCCGTTGAGGATGAAGGCGTGTCAAGTCGATTAGGGGAGATGTGATGACGCCGTTCGTTCCGAGAAAGGCTAGATCAATTGACCGAGCACCTGGACAGGGGCCGAGGTCGGACTATCCCCCGCCCCTCTCCTCACGCGCCATACGACCACCTTACACAAGAAAGAAACTACACAGGTGCACTGGCGTCTACAGTAAAGTAATAGCTGGAGGAAACAAGACCTGAAGGCAGTGTACCTAGGTACACTTCAAAGAGATGCGTGTTGAAATCTTCCTTTGCACGAAGCTCATTCTCTGTCAGCTCCAGTTCCCTTCTATTAATACCAGATGACGAGTATAGACTGGGTTCATGTTCACAGAAGGAAAAGTCAAGGAGTGAAGACACAGCTAAGGATGTGACAGTCAAATTGGCTATAAGCTGTATATACAAGAATCTTATCGATCGTCACTTCAGTTTTCCCTCCACTATGTCACCACCATTCCCAGCCTTGCGATACTCGTTTGCTTCCTGGTCTCCACCAAGTGTTAAACACTTTACAAGTTGGCAGCAATGAAGCTACGGAGAGTAGCCTGGCCAATGTTGGCGTACACACCAGGGGCGTTGGGGGCAGCGCAGCCATCACCCCAAGAAACGGCACCGAGGAGGACCTTGGTGGACTTGTTGACGATAGGACCGCCGGAGTCACCCTGGCAAGAGTCCTTTCCACCCTGGGAGAGACCGGCGCAGAACATCTGGGCGGTAACAGCCGAGGTGCCGTAAGAAGACTGGCAGGAGCTGCGGGAGACGACAGGAACATCAACCTTGAGGAGGTTGACGGGGAGCGACTGGCCGCCGGAAGAGGTAGTACCCCTAATTTGAAAGTTAGCTATGTGTTTCGGACAGATTCTGAACAGATAAGAATGACAAAACTTACCAGCCAGCAACGGTGAGGGTGGTTCCAGCAGCAGGGTCGGATCCGGACGCGGGGAGCGTAGCGTACGAGACGGTGGAGCTGGTAGGGATGGAGGTGGCCAGCTTCATGATGGCGACATCACCGTTGTAGGTGCTCGCTACGTAGCCAGGGTTGACCTTGATGGAGGAAACACGGGCAACAACACCGCCGGAGGTACGGCTCTGGATTCAACGTGTTAGCCTAAACAAATCTCATGGCCAAGGTGGAAACTTACGTTGGAACCAGCGCGAACTGTGAGGCTGGAGGCAGTCTGGCCAACAGCACAGTGAGCAGCTGTGAGGATGGTGTTGGCGTTCAGAAGGGTGCCACCGCAGAAGTGGGAGCCGGAGCGCTGGAGGGAGACGATGAAGGGGAATTCACCCGCGCTAGCGGTTGTTCCACCGACAATATCCTCCTGGCTGCCGTTGTCCCAGTCGGGGATCTCAGTGGGATCCTGAGGGATGGCTGCGGAGAGCACCACCGCTGGGATAGCGAGGACGGTGAGGAGATCTTTGATCTGCATCTTGAAGGAGGTTGGCCGGAAAGCTGGAGTGGGACTGAAGCTGGAAGCGAAAGACTGCTGGTTCTCTGATGAGGACTGGCCTGAGAATGAGAGGAAGACAGCCTCCTATTTGTACTCGACTGGTCACTCTCTAGTCTTGCGACTTCGATGTGGTGGTATACACCAACCTTGCCACATTGTTGTCGTGTGGTCCAGGTATGCCAAAGGTCCCAAGACCGCTAGAACAGGGTATATTCGATGCTCCTTCTGCATGTAGAAGGAGAAAAGCAGTGTACAGCGGTGATTGGTACTGTTGCAGTTATAAGTTCCTTCTAAAGCCTAGCATCCTTCATGCAGCCATCCGTCGAGGTGGTGCTTATCTACTGCATGACTATCGATACCCCGGAGATCCCGTGCTCGTCGCCAAACGGGAAGCTGTTTTGGCACACTATCGTACAACTGGTTCTGCATAGTAGTGTCTCCGGCCCTAGGGGATATTGTGGTGAGTTCGGCCGGTAGTGGCTGGTTTCACGTGCCAACGTCGGTGAACGCCATGTGCCATCGAGATAGAGGGAAAAGAAATCTGGGAAACATAGGCGGAAGGCCAGTCAGCTGCTGCTGTGGCAGTACAAATCTCCAGCCTCTAGGCTGAGACTACGCCGGTGCCGGTGCCGGGTGATCTTCCTTATGGCGTTACATGGATGAAGATCCTAGGTGAAGAGCTACATAGCAGCTATAATTGGCTCATTGGGTGGGAGATCAATGATTGCGATAAGATCTAGCTGATGAGCATTTGCGACTACAAATGACGAGTGGCCTGCAGCGTCCGGCAGTCTCCCCCATGAACTCGTTGCCAAGCCTTACCAAGCTTCCGTTTATATTGCAGTCGTGGGCGCGATATGCGAGATAGCAAATGGTTGGTGTGGGAGCATCGTCTCCCTGAGAGGCCTGTCTCGAAGAGGCAGTTACTGGTGAGGGTGGGGCTTGGCATGCGGGCCGGCCCCTGCACATTCCCTCCGAAACACTCCGCCCTACCTGCTGCGATCGCCACAACACCTGAATCATCTCGTATGGACGCGGACTTCGCGACCTAATCAGACTGAAGAGACCTGTTAACAGTAGGTGGCAAGAACTTTGCCCCCACTGCGTCATTTATCATGGACAGGTATGAGCGAGGTGTGTCCGCCACGGTCTGCGAGAAGTACAGGTTGGTGAAATCTGGAGCAAGCACCGCACCTCTCGCGCCCTCTTGAAACGATACCTTGCAAACTCACAAAGCCTATACTTCCTTCAATACCGTATATACGTACAGTGATGTCTGCCTAGGTGATAAACGGATGATGTTCTGCGTGCTGCAAGGTACCTAGGTAGTGCTTCGCCGCGCGATAGGTGGAACTGCCACGAATTAATTCAGGCACATGCATAGCACAGCTGTAGGATCTCTCAAGACCTCCTGGCTTCGCATTGAATCCATACGCTAATTGCATGTCCGACTAATGTACACATCAAACCGTTCTTTGTTTACCACAACTCATCCCAGCCACTCATTGCTGTCTTCTAACCTTTAACCCGTGCATCGATAAGACCTACTGTTTCAGAGAGCCCTTCTTAGTCTTCATCCTTACTTCGGCATCTTCCAGCAGCCCGCGATAGTCCTCCGGGCCATAGCTACTCACGCACTCCCTCACACCTCCACCCTTCCTCCGCTCCTGCATACCCAGATCTCTGAGCAGCGTGTCAAGGTAAGGCATCGTATCAAAGACAAGATCGGGTAGTGTATGCCCATAACTCATTGCGCCGCGGAGAACACAGTACTGCGTGTTCCGATATGTTTCCTCAAGTGCCTTGGTTGATGAAGAGGGCGGAGATAGGGTACCGTCGAAATAGGCAGTGATCCAGAGACTTTGTATGTATGCGCACGGGAAGGTAAAAAGACAATGGGCTGCACCAGCGAAGGCGATGTTGCGCTCTTCCATGGCTTTTGGCGGGACCATGAAGCGGTATAAGCGGTACGGTTCGGCGTTTGAAGAAGGCTGTTCAGCGTAACGAAGGGAGGGATCGGGATGATGTATACGGCTCGTATCCCTCTCTTTCAGGTAAGGGTACTCGGTGTACAGAGTTTCCTCTGACTTTCGTATAAGCTCTGTCTCTTCCGGCGTGAGTGCAAGTGTACTAGGTAAGCCCAATTCCTTCTCCAGCTCTTGAGGTTCGAAGCGGAAGGTGTATCCCTTTTGCCAGCCTGTTGCACAAACGACTGCATCAGCCTCTAACACCTTCCCTGACTTGAGTACAACCTGTCGCTCTCCGTACAGGCTTTCAATGTCGTCAACGATCACTTTGACTTTTCCGTCTTTGACCAACTCGAAAAAGCTATCCGGATAATTGTGAATCGATAACGCATTGCCGACTTCGAAAGCACCTCTCCAAGGCCGCAACTTCTTCGTCTCAGGGTGTTTGTCCAACCCATTTAGCGCGATCGCATCTTCTCCAAGTGTGTTCCAGAAAGCACCCACTATTTTCCTGCCGAGCCACGTGCGATGGAAAAAGGAGCGCAGCCAGCCTTCAATGCCTGTCGTGGGTGCCCAAGGACAAGGAGACATGAAGCCAAAGAAACGTGTATGTACCAGTTTCTCCAGCCACAATCCCAATGGTGTGACGTGACTAGGCGCCATCCACACAGGTCCGTTGCCGTCAGGACGAATGAGTAAAGTCGCTGTAGTAGACGGCTGACTAGCACATGCGTACGCTACATCCCACGCCGACTTTCCAGATCCCACAACGACGGTATGCTTGCTTGGTTTCGCAATGACTTCGTGAAATTCCGGGAAGTCTGCAGCATGGATGACCAATGATCTGAAGTTTGTCGACGTTTGATAATCCGGTAATAGTGGCTTGTTCGTGGTACCGACTGCAATGACCAGTTTCTTCGCTTTGATCTGGGTGCCCTTCCTATTCAATGGAGATGCCGCGCAATGCAAAACCCATCCATCCGCATCTTCATCCCTCTCGATGATCTCAACAGTTGTTCGCCCTCTAACGAATTGCTCTACATTGGCCCATTTCATGAAAGCACTAAGGTAGTCGAACATCTTCGCGGCAGGAATGTGTTCTCCCCTTTTCACCATGAACTTTTCTTCATCCATGGGGAAGTCAGGGTGTTCGTACATGCCCCACAGATTGTTGGTCCGGAGACCGGGAAACACACGATTCGGTGCCCATGGTCCGCCAATGGATGGCGCAGAGTCGAGAATGAGTATTTTGGCTGAAGGATGTAGGCGGTGGTATGTGTGAGCAGTTGTGAGGCCGTAGATGCCTGCACCTATGATCACGAGATCCGCTTCTTCCATTGTACGGACGGATGTGAGAAACCACTCGAGGGTTGGAGGAACTTGCGCAGAGTTATGTGCAGCTGTATGGACGGGGCTATACGTGTCGAGAGTAGAAGAACTGCGGCAGGTACAGTGGACACCATCCGTTCTATTGGTTCCGACAGCGTGAGATGGAGCAACGGGAGGCCCTATGATTTCGATGCGGTAAAACAAGCGAGATCTGTATCATCCATGTCATCCCTGCAGTAGCAGCTATCAACAGTACGATCGCGATAACTCGAAAGCTTGTCGGAGTTAAGAATTTGTTGTAAACCCTAAGCTTGGTCATTCATGTGTTAGAGACGTGTTCATGCTACAGTCTTGGTCTTCTCTGAAACCTCTGCATTCTCATCAACGCTTGCATTATAACATAGTATCGGGTCGAAATCAGAGCAGGTACGCCCATCAGGAGGGAGGAAATTCGGCAGGAGCATCATAGTTTAGCCTTTACAGAGCCAACCCCAGCCTTGACTTGCACAGCTCCAGTCGAATCGGTATCCACCATTACCACAACCCCTTCGGAAGCGGTTTGGTCTGGCTTCAGCACGATTTCCTGACAGTCTTCGTTGCCTACTTCATTCGCAAATTGTACGACTACAAAGTCGATCGGTCGGTCCCCAATCACGATCATCGGCGCATGCCATGTCCCAGCCCCATATGTCACTGCTTGACTGCCGTTTGCAACGAAGGCGCGGAGATTCTTGAGGTCTGGCAGGCCAGGTCCCTTGGGTCGCGCTGAGGGGTGCAGCCGTGAGAACTGGCTCTGGGTAGGCACAGTCTCGTTCGAGTACGGGCTCGGCCTCGCGCGCGCGAAGATGTCCATGACACTCCTTTTCCGTTCGATGTGGGGTGTAGGATATGGCGGCGCTCTGCCTGTGTGCCTTCTCGACGCGCTTGCCGGCAGTGTTGGAGCCACTATGACAAGATACTGTGTGTGCCTTTCCTGCTGCGACAGCCCCATGGGTATGAATGTCTGCGTGGTGAACGGATGTCTTTCGAGAATGCCAACGTCCAATAGCTGCCTCTGGAAGTCCCCGCATCCTTCCTCGTCCTCATCTAGGTCCAGGTCTCCCCACGAGCTGGGCATGCTCATGCTCGGCTCGTGCGGCCGGAGGTTGCGCGGCGAGCAAACAAACATGTTCATTACTGCCTTGGCAGGTTTCTTGCTCGGCGCAAGGCTGTACAGGTTCGACATGTGTGTGACATCGAGGTACTTGGTTGCTGAGCCCTGATTGGCGGCGACGGCGTCCGGCGGTGGTACGCGTTGCGGGATGGGCAGCTTCGCGGACGGTGATGTGGTCGGGTTCTCGATGACAGCACCGAACTGCGCGAAAGCAGTCGGAGTCAGAAGCTCCATCGGGATGCGTATCGAAGGGGCGGGCATCGAGGTCGGCATCTTCGCGGCACGGCGTCCAAAGGGACGTGGACGGAAGCTACGATGGGTCTGTGGAGTTGGGGGGAGCTCGGGAGCTTATGGCGCTACCGAGGCGATAACGATAGACATGGAGTTCGCCGTTGGTATATCGCGAATGGTTAACTCTACGCAATGCTTGTATAAATTGCGCGATCTCCTACGTATCTAAGCAGATGGAGGGAGTATGAAATGGTGTATCAGTCGCTGACACTCGAGAAGAAGCCGACGAAGCATGCTCGATTCGCGGCTCTTGCTAGGGAAAGCTGGCCGCAGATCGTTGAATCTCGAATCCTTCTGTGCAGGCGGCACAAGATCGGTCTAGACTCGGTGACGTCGATGCAGTCAGAAAATGTATTCAGAAGAGGAGTTTCGAGCGCCAATACGTGCACAGCCTCTCCCATTCACTCTTCCGTCTCCAGCATGTGCTGGCGAGGCTGATGTCACAGTCCCAACGCCAGCGGCCCGCATTTTCCCCGAGCACTAGCGCGTGTGCCCACGGATTTCTTTCTCGACGGCCGCCATCGCCTTCACTACGCTGTCACACGGTCACCCTTCAATTCCCTGACGCGTGTTCCTCCTTCCCTCCACGATCCACCCGTTGCCGCTGCGTGCGCCCAAAGTCTGCCCTTGGCCTATAAAGTCCCGGAACTACGTCACACTCGAATCCATACCCACACCCCCGACGTGTTCCTGTCTTAGCCTTACTCATCGCCAACCCACAAAACCGAGCTCAGCAGTGAGCCAGACTTCGCGACCACCAGCACCTTGCCCCACGCCCACTTGTACAACTTCCTGTGACTTTTACTAGTTATCATGGCTGTTCCCACACAGTTGGCTTGTACGCACCCTCCGCACAGTCGGGCGTGAGACACGCTAACAAGACTCGCAGACCGCTCCGCCAAGGGCATCGGGATCTTCAACGCTGCTCCAGTGTATGAGGCTCTTCCAGGATTCGTACGGTAAGTGTCTAGACTACGCCACAAGTCCTCGCGCACATCCACGTGCAGTTCTGACGCTGACTCGCACAACAGACCCGAAGGCAACCTTCGCTGCTGCTGCTACTCGCCCGATAGCAAGTACTTCGCATGGGCAACACCTGAACAGGTTTCGGTGATTGACGCCTCAGTCGGCAACGTCATTACCACACTCCCCACACCGAACGTTTACGAGCTCGGCTTCTCCCCGCTCGGCACATACCTCATCACATGGCAGCGCCCATCCAAGGACGAAGACGGGAACGCGGCGAAGAACCTCCGGGTCTGGAAGACGCTCTCCGACGAAGCTGAAGATGACGGATCACGGGCAGTCATCGGCGAATACGTTCAGAAGAACCAGAGTGGCTGGAACTTGCAGTACACGTCCGACGAGAAGTACTGTGCGCGCGTTGTAACAAACGAGGTCCAGTTCTTCCAGTCGAGCGATTTGCGCAACCCTTGGAACAAGCTCCGCGTGGAGGGAGTGACCGACATGGCGCTCGCCCCAGGCAAGAACCATTCAGTTGCCGTTTTTGTTCCGGAGCGCAAGGGTATGCCCGCTGCTGTCAAGGTCTTCCAGGTCCCTCAATTCAGCCAGCCGGTATCCCAGAAGACTTTCTTCAAGGGCGACAAGGTCCAGCTGAAGTGGAACGATCTCGGTACCAGCTTGATTGTCCTGGCCCAAACCGAGGTCGACAAGACGAACAAGAGCTACTACGGCGAGACCAACATGTACATTCTCAGCGCCAACGGCACCTTCGATTCGCGCATCCAGCTAGACAAGGAGGGTCCTATTCACGACGTGTCCTGGTCGCCAAACTCGAAGGAATTCGGTGTCACCTATGGCTACATGCCCGCAAAGACTACCATCTTCAACCAGCGCGCGGTCGCACAACACAGTTTCGACCTAGGCCCACGCAACACTATCCTTTTCAGTCCCCACGGTCGCTTCGTCATCGTCGCCGGTTTTGGTAATCTAGCTGGAGATATGGACATCTACGATCTTGAGAAGAACTTCGCCAAGGTCTGCCACGTCAAGACCTCCAACTCGACCTATTGCGCGTGGAGTCCGGATGGGCAGCATATCCTTACGGCTACTACTAGCCCGCGTCTTCGTGTTGACAACGGTGTTCGCATCTACCATGTCAGCGGAGGCCTCATGTACAACGAGGACATGGCCGAACTCTACCACGTCGTTTGGCGCCCTCAGCCAACCTCGATGTACCCTCTGACCGACCCCTTGACCAACGTACCGGCACCGCATCCGTCTGCGCTCGCCTACCTCAGCACCCAGAAGACACCGTCCAAGCCTGCGGGTGCCTACCGTCCCCCCGGAGCGCGCGGAACCGCTACACCCCTACACTTTAAGCGTGAAGATGAAGGAGGCGCAGCTTATGCCAATACCGGTATCTCTTCCACGAACGTTGGCTTCGCCAATGGATTTGGCAAGCCGCGTCGCCGTGAGGTACCAGGAGCAGAAGCTGCTGAGACCCTTCCACCGGGCGCTGCTCCCGGCGGCGGTGTTAGTCTTACCGGCGCTCAAGATGGCGATGGAGAGCTCTCGAAGGCGGCTTTGAAGAACAAGAAGAAGCGAGAGGCCAAGAAGGCTCGCGAGGCCGCTGACAAGGCTGCTGGACTCGGCGCTGACGGTGCCAATGCACCCAACGGAGCTGGACGTAGCCCAGAACGTCGCCAGCGCAGTCGCAGCAAGAGTGGATATGAGCAGCAAGGACGAAGCGCCAGCCAGCACCGCAACTTTGGCAACAGCCCAAACCGTCAAGCCCGCCCGGACGGTAACCAGCGCCAGAACCCTGCGCAGCAGCGTCAGCAAGCTCCAGCTCAGGCTCAGGCCCCTCCCCCGATCCAGACCGAGAGCCAGGGTCCTCCCCCTGACCTCACCGTCACCAGCCCTGGTGACGGCGGCAACCCTCAGGACAAGAAGATCAGGGGTTTGCTGAAGAAGATGCGCGCCATCGATGAGCTGAAGATGCGTCAAGCCGGCGGAGAGAAACTAGAGGACACCCAGGTCAAGAAGATCAGCACCGAGAAGCAGATCAAGAAGGAACTAGACGCCTTGGGCTATAGCGGTTAGAAAACACTGTAGATGCATGTGAGTCCCTCGAGGCCTAAGCATCACAACATGTAGTACGTTAGGAGATGAAAAACTGAGTCATGTATTGTTCTCTGCATTCATTCATGATCTCGTGATTAGGCTATGACCCTGCATGATAGTACCCTAATGTCCAGGTATCTTCCTCCACGCTGGGCCGTCATTCATGGACATATCATGAAGGTCGGACTGAAGGATCGGTAGGCACATCTACGTGTTGCTTCTAGTGGGAGGCATGTCCGCCCTGTGTGCCTAGCTCGGAAGCGAGTTCACTGCCTTTTTTGAAAGTGCCGTCAGGGTTGCGCTGCGTGGAATATGTTAGCTACGAACTCATCGACCGTACTTCAGGACAACTTACGCCGCTCTCGTTGCTGGAAGTCTGAGCACTAGAGTCGTTGGAAGAACCGTGGGATGCGTGGCCGCCCTCAGCACCAAGCTTGCTGGCGACCTCTGACCCCTTGGTGAAGGTGCCATCTGGGTTACGGCCTGGCTCGCTGCTGTTGGACGTGGAGTCTGTAGCACCGTGGGAAGCATGACCACCTTGAGCGCCTAGCTCCTTTGCGAGGTCTGAGCCCTTGGTAAAGGTACCGTCAGGGTTACGGTCAGCATTGCCGCTGTTGCCGGTGGATGTGGACTTCACAAAAGGTCAGTCACTGCACATTAGAGTGAGGGTATCCGGTACAACTTACTTCGCTGTTGCCAGAGCCGTGCGAGGCATGGCCACCCTTGGCGGCAATCTCACTGAGCTTGTCCTTGGGCAGGTTGGCGAAGTTGGAAGGGTTGGAAGAAGCCATCGTTGATGATTGTGTTTGATAGAGCTCTGATTGAGTGTTGTAGTTTGAGAAGATGGGTCAGATTGGTTGTAGTATGAGAAAAGAAGTAAAGACGAAGTAGGTCTGTTTATATCCCCCCACCTGTACGCGCTCCTGTTTGCTTCCCCTAGGCAACACGTCACAAATGCGGGCAGCACGCCTGCAGGTGAGCCTGCATCAGGCTTCAGTCTCCACCTCGAGGCATGTTAGTGTCGATCAAACGTCCGCTCATGTCTGATTTGCCGGAAAAAACGGTCATCTTGAGGGGGAAGCCACTGCAGCCTGCTTGCATCCTTGTGCCATGTTGCGGACTGTGTCAGGGCAGCGGGTGATGTCATGTCACGTGATTTGGACGCGTCGCGCGTACTCACGTGTTGCTGTGCCGCGTGGCGGCCAATCAACGTGCTCGGGGGGAAATGACAGGCCGTGTCCGACGTCACGTCCCCGACGCGAATCTCTGGGGCTGGGAGATGCTTGCAATCGTCACGATACTCTTACGACTCGTCATAGTCTCCATAGTATTATCTTCGTTACTCCACGCTTCCCCTCTCACCCCATATTCTACATCAGTTGACAGTGCCACCATGAGCCTGAAGCGTAAAGCAGCGGCAGCGGCCACGGACGCGTCAAAGAAGCCCAAGCAGAACGGTAGCATTACCGCCTTCTTTGGCGCCCCGAAACCCAACCCCAATGCGCCGCCCAAACAATCTGCTGCAGCCGCAAAGTTCGATAGAGATGCATGGGTTGCCAAACTCACAGACGAGCAGAAAGAGCTGCTACAACTTGAGCTCGACACGCTACACGAGAGCTGGCTGCCGCATGTCAAGGATGTGCTGCTGACACCCCAATTCCTCGAATTGAAGAGGTTTCTGAAGAAGGAGCTGGACAGTGGGAAGACTGTATACCCGCCGATGAAGGACGTGTACTCCTGGTACGATCTCCCACATCTTCCGGGTGCATGCTTGAGTAACGAAGACTAATACTGGTTAGGTCGCGACACACACCCCTCAACACCGTCAAGGTCGTCATCACAGGCCAAGATCCATACCACGGCCCCAACCAAGCCCACGGTCTCTGCTTCTCCATCCGTCCACCGAACCCTGCGCCTCCTTCGCTCATGAACATCTACAAGGCCCTCGAGAAGGAGTACCCAGACTACAAGCGACCTCCGAACAAGGGTGGTCTTCTGACGCCATGGGCTGATCGTGGTGTTTTGCTCATCAACACCTGCTTGACCGTCCGTCGCGGTGAAGCAAACTCACATTCGGGCAAGGGCTGGGAGCTGCTCATGCAGAAGGTTATTGATACCGTGGCCAAGGTGCGGACGAATGGTGTTGTCTTCCTGGCCTGGGGCAGTCCGGCGCAGCAGAGGACCAAGGGCATTCCAGTTGACAAGCATCTTGTGCTGAAGAGCGTACATCCTAGCCCGCTGAGTGCAGCGAGAGGCTTCGTAAGTACCGCCTCCCGATATATCATGATTCAAGTGCTAACGATGTGTAGTTTGACAACGGTCACTTTAGGAAGTGCAACGAATGGCTGGAGCAGCGTTATGGCAAAGATGGTGGCATCAATTGGGACTTGAATGTTAATGCTGAGAAGACTGAGTTGTAGTCGTATACTGTTCTAGTCCAACCTTTCGGAGTTTTGAAGGCTACAATGAGAAGCTGAAGTTAATAAGTGCTGACCATGGGTGACTTCGAGGCATACATGAGACTAGATGTGGTACATTAGTGACAAGTGGAGGTGCGTTGTATGTATACATTATTGTAGTGGTTGAACGTTATAACGTCGAAAAGGAACTGACACTCTCCAGCCTACTACAGCAAACCCCGCTCCAAGAGACCAAAGTTAGGCCAGCAGTTCCTCATCACACTCTACCTAGACTCGCAATTTCCCTTTCACCTCTGGAAAGATACGAGCAAGTTCAGGGCTCTGGATTAGGTTCATGCAGTATAACACACAGCCACTGCTACATCAATACGCCGTACTTATCCTGGAGTCTCCGCATCACCATCCAGTGAACCAGATCCCGCGCCGCAGTTGCGTCTTCCAAGCTATCATGACCTTTATTGCCTTTGGTCTGAATGTCCGTGTCCAGGTACTTCTTTAGCAGTGTCTTCAACGCCAGATCACCCGTACCCTTTTTCTTCTTCTTCTTGGGCTCACCCTCAGTGGGGTTGGTCGAGTCGATCATTGTCTGCGCATCAGTCGCTGGGGTAAGCATGCTACTCGTCGCTAGTCCTGTGACCTCCGGAAGGCACTCCTCCACCCTTCTTGCCGCCTCTTCACTAAGCTCTTTTTCTCTGGCTTCGATTGCCTTCTTCTCCTGAATGATCTTGTGCTCTACGACGTAGGAGTCTACGACTTTTGTGTGTATCCACTTCAGTGCCTTGAGGTCATTATGAACGCTGTGTCCAACGAGGATAGTCTCTGGACCGACAAATTTCCATAACAGTTTTCTCGCCCCAGTCTAAAATTGGTGTACAAAGTCAGTACATGTCTTCCTTCGGCTTCTTCACGTAGTGACTTGCCTTCCCCTTTAGCGTGGTCTTCTCACTTATAGCTTCGTTCATCTGATCCCACGTAACGCCCGACCACTTTGTGTTGAGATGTTGCATTGGTTGATCAGGCTTAACAAGGTTGTTAATGAGCACTTCTCCGGTTATGTAATCGATGGCGCTCAGGCGAATGAGCTCAGAGTCTCCACTCCTGGCTGTTCCCATCTTCAGAATGGGAGTGAGAAGTCAGCATGTCTCACATACATTCTGTAGAGCTAGAACATACCTCGCAGTCGATTGCTACGGCAAATTTGGCGTTCATCCTGCGGTCCGCATCCCAATGACGAAAAGGTGGAGTCGGTTGGAATTGATGTAGGCGTTCGAGCTCACCTGATCGATATTCGCGTATTCTGTGCTTGTCGGAAGTCCTACATGGCTGGGCCTCCGAGACGTGTTTTCCGCAACACAACCAGCACTAACAAGATTAGTTGGGTTAGGCAACGTCGAGTCAGCCTGCCCTCACCTTTGTCGCGCGGTCGACTGGCGCTGAGTGGTGGAGACACTCTATTGTGCAATACTGAATTCCAGAGCTACCGTTCTCGTATGGTACGATCATACTTGGCAATGTCTTGAAGGGCGTGTCAGGTGGATGTGAGAGAAGCTGTTGGCTACGGCGCGTTATGGCCTGTTGGAGACCCTTGCTAAGCTGTTGGATAGCTACCAGGAGTTTAGCAATACTCTTAAAATCGATGTGCACAGTCCAGGCACTGAGCTTGTACTAACTTTGATTGCATTTGCTGCATCTTCGTTTCAGATGAATCTCCTCATCTGTCAACTGTGCAAAGTTGTAGCCATGTTTTCGCAGAGCATGTGTGGGTTCTAATAGGCTCAGAAATTCTCGGATGTAATAATCCCCGGGCGGTAGTTCGAGTATTGAAGGTGCTTGGCCCTCGCATGCTTCGGGTGGAGGGGGATATGGGACGACATCGCCGGGTGGGGTTGGTCCTGTTGCTCCAGTGTTCATGATCCAGAAAATGTCTAGAAATCGGCTTCTTGTGAAAGTGTGTGACTCAGGCTGATGTGAAAGATGCTGGAATGTGAGTAGTCCAGGTTTCGATACTGGGATGCGGTGTTTGTCTGCTCAGATGAACCCACCGCTTTCCTCTAAGGCTATAGTCCAAGTGACATGCAGGGTAGCTACCGGTGTTTGGGATATATTGCCTGCGAGTCCTGCGAGGAGTGGCAGACAAAACTGGTGACAACGGTGGTGATACCGAAGAGTCTATGTGATGGAAAAGTGGGGGAAGCGGAATCGGGATGGCGCGTTGACAAGGGTGAGTGCGCTAGCACCATGTCGCGTCTTCCAACAACGTCGCCAGCTGGGGTGCATTCACCAACAAGGTCATAACTACATGCTCTTTGTGCTACATTCTACAGATCATTGAGAGAATGAGTGAACATGGCCGCCAACTTCATGCAGGATTTTGGATCCTGCTCCGTATTTTATCCCGACACGGCACGTAGGGGCTTCGCCACCTGGGCAGCCAGCTGGATTTAGCTACTCATTGTAATCTCCAATCCGCGCTGATATGCATGACGTCATGTGCCGCCGGTAGATGGTAAATCAGCCTAATCCAGTCGATGTTCCATGAACTACATACCCTCGCAGCCTCGGTAGTGCTATACAACAGTATAACTTCCCAGGTCATGCAGAAACGTCGAAGCCTCGTAGACAACCGCCCAGACAGTGCGCAAACATGGCCAAAACCACAGCATTCAACGTCCTCGTTTTCAGCAAGACCACAGGCTACCGTCATGACTCTATCCCAGCTGGAATCCGCATGTTCCACAAGTTAGCCAGCGATACGAACCTCTTTAAAGTCACAGCTAGTGAAGACGCCTCGTTGTTTACCTCGTCTTATCTCGCGCAATATCAAGTCATCGTCCTCCTGCAAAACATCGGCGACGACATCTTCACCCCATCCGAACTAGAAGCTTTGAGGGCCTGGGTGAAGAATGGCGGCGGTATCGTAGCTATCCACGGCGCAGCTGCAGCTATGCAAGGGAACGAATACTACACGAACTTGGTCGGAGCAAGTTTCGACACGCATCCCGATCCTGAGCCCGGTACCATCGTTCCTGAAGAGTCTGGCCTGAAACACCAGATCATGAACTGCTGTGGTGGGCGTGAGGGCTGGAAGGACGAATGGTATAACTTCCACACTCATCCAAGAGAAAACAAGAACCTCCAGATCTTGCTCAGAGGTGATCCGAAGACATTCCACGGAGGTAAACACGGAGATGACCATCCGTTGGTATGGTGTCAAGAGTTCGAGGGTGGAAGGGTATTCTTTACGTCTTTGGGTCATTTCGATGAGGCGTACGAGGATCCATGGTTTGTTGGACAGGTCGAGAGAGGGTTGCTGTGGGTATCAAGGCAAATGGAGGTTTGAAGGAGGGTAGATGACTTGACAAGTTGTCTTTGAGACTGGTTACCATCGGTTTGAGGCTGATGGCGGAGTCAACGCAAATGAAGATTGTAAACCCAATACCGAGATACGCGCAATCGCAGATACAAACAAGTAACGCCGTGCGCCAGACCCAAGACTCCGATAGACTTACGGTGAGGCGTTGTGGTACGGAGCGCCTGCTCACCGCGAGTGATAATGGACTAGCGTTAACACATAACAAACGCTCATCTCAAATTCTTTTCAGCACCACGTCCCACACACTCTGCTCCAAACACTCCTCCCATCATCTGCCTTCAATTACTTCTTCCATTACATACTTTCCACGATGGTTCCCGCAAACGAAACCCCCGCGCCACTGTCACAAGCCGAAGAGGCGGAAGTTGAAGCGCTGCTCGAAAAGGCGAAGAAATTTTCCCCGGGCGTGTTTAAACAGCTCCAGGAGGAAGAGCGCAAGATGCGCGAAATGGCCGCCGCTGATCCAGAAATGGCGCGCTACCTTGAGAGCCTTTGCCGCGCGTACTTGAGCAGCGGAGCGAGTTCGGCGAAACCGGATACCAAATTGGAAGAGGAAGAGGAAAGAAAGAAGAAAGAGGAAGAGGAGGGTGAAGAGGTTGAGACAAAGGTTGAGGGAGGAGAAGAGGAAAGTAAATGAAGACAACTTCCGGCTTGGTAAGAATTCACTTCGCTAGAATCTTGTTATTCCTGTATACGACAAACTAACAACTTAGTAGCTAAGGTGTGATAGCTACTGTCTGATCCGGGGATGGAAAGAAATTGAGGTTCTCGAATAGAACATGAAATGTTAGTGAACTCCAGACTCATTAGAGGAAAGTCATATTGTCATCATTCGTATAAGAGAAGAGAATCCTACGTAATGCCATACCCTATTAACTCCGCCTTGCCTATACATCGTCAATTACCTGTCGTTCCTTCGATCCATTGTCTACTCCGCACTAGCATTTGTCTTAGCTGCTGCAGCAGCAACTGCCTTCAAAGCCGCCGGGGCATCGTCCCACGGCATGACCAACTCAACAAACCGCATCTTCTGCGTCTCGCCACTGCTAAACTCTTCGTCTTGGAACAGCTTCTCAACCTCCTCCTTCGTCTCCACTCGGTATGTGAGTACACTGCCTTCTTCAGCGCCGAAGACGCGGGGAATGTCCTTGTACTTCCATTCCTGGACGTCGTTGTAGGAATCTTCCCATCCGTGGATGAGTCGCTCGATTGTGTAGCCCTTGTTGCAGATGACGAAGATGATGGGAGCCAGCTTGTTACGGATCATTGTGGAGACTTCTTGAGCGGTAAGTTGAAAGGAGCCGTCACCTGTGAATAGGATGGTGCGCTTGATGTTTGACTCTTTTGCGGCGAGGGCAGCGCCTTGACAAGAGCCGGTTGCATAGCCAATGGAGCCCCAGAGGACTTGCGAGATGGCGTTGACGCCTGCTGGGAAGCGAGTCTCCCAGATGCCGAAGTTAGAGGTACCAGTCTCGGTGATGAGGACATCATCCTTCTTCAACCACTGACCAAGCTTTGGCCAGAACCAGGCGTGTTTGATTGTTGGTTCCGTCGATGAAGTCTCCTTATCCGGAACGTTGTTGTTCGGGTTGGGTCCAGATTCGATGTTCAGCTTTCCAAGCTTGGCTGTGACTTTGGAAAGCACCCCGTTCATTCTAACACCAGGGTATTCCGAGTATCGTACTTTGCATCCGTAGCTGTGTAGGTCGATGGTCGTAAGTTGTGACATGCGGATGGTGAAGCCTGCAGTGTTGAAATCGGACTTGATAGCACCAATGCTGAGCACGAGGTCGGACGATTCAACGCGTTCACGCACACCAGCGTTTGAACCGTCTCCGGCGTAGACGCCACCATAGTTCGGCAGAGTCTCATCTACCGCACCCTTTCCCATTGGGGCGACGAAAGTGGGTATTCCAGATTTCTTGATGAGCTCGTGAGTCTCCTTCAGTGCTCGGTGGCGGATAGCGCATGCATCCACAAGAATGACGGGGTTCTTTGCCGCGTGCAGATACTTCAGTACCACGTCAACGACGTAGTCTTCGGCTTCTTGGTCGTTTTGCGGATATTCCAGATCAAGTGGAGTGTTGAGGCGATCGCCGTCGACCTTCTTCGTTACCATGTCGCTAGGCAAGGAGATGTAGACGGGCCTCGACTTCAGGTAACATTCCCGAATCGCGTTGTCGATCAGCATGGCCGCTTCATGCTGGCTGTTGAGCATCGAGATAGCACACGAGATCTCCTTGGACATGCGCGAGAAGACCGTAAAGTCGCCATTTCCAAGAGTATGGTGCAGCAGCGCTCCGTTCCTCTGAGATACAGTCGATGGGTAGCCGACGATGTGGACGATTGGGACGTATTCCGAGTAGGCTCCGGCGATGGCATTGACAGCGGACAATTCACCCACGCCGAAGGTCGTTACCAATGCAGAAATGCCCTTGACTCTTGCGTAGCCGTCTGCGGCGTAACCTGTAATGATCGTCAGCACCTATCGCATGAGACAGACGGATCGACTTCGGTCGCTCCCGCAAGCGAGCCGCTGATAGCCCGAACGCAAGAACAAGCTCCACGTACCAGCATTCAGCTCATTGCAGTTGCCGACCCATTTCAGGCCGACTTTGGGGATGTAGTCGAGTGCGACGAGGTTGTAGTCTCCTGGAACGCCATGGACGGACTCAACGCCGACCTGTTGTAGTCTTCGGAAGAGGTACTGGGATCGTGTCAGCAGCTAGCGCGCTTTCACACGCGTGTACAGCCCATGACTTACCTCTGCGACGTCAATTGGGTTTTTGATATCCTGCGATCGTAGATCTTGCGCCATGTTGCCAAGCTGTCAGAGAGATGAAGCTTTGGATGCTAAGAAAGTAGTTCGTTTGATGGGGTGGTGGCAGGCTGTTGGGCGCAGCTACCTTTAAGGGTCCGCGAAGTTTACAGCAATGAGGTCATGTCCGGTCTTTACCGGCCAGCGCCATTGTTGGGCCTGTCTCGTGCGAGTGCATCGGGTGCATGTGGGATGCTGCACCATAGTAACGCGACGCGCAGCATACCACGCCGTTTGTCAGCCCAGGTGGCGTGAGCTACCAAGTCTGCGGCATAGTATTGCTACCGGATGCGTGCACTCGCAGCTCGAAGTCTCCTTGACGACGAAATTCTTCGCAACAACACCAATCCATAATGGACCTGTCTCGCATCAAACACGCGATCGATATGGGTGAAGAAGTCGAGACATCTGGAAGTGGGGCGCATCCTTAGCTTCGTGGGAATTCCATGGTAGCGGAACCACTCTGCCAACATGTTCTTAGTAACTATGCATCATCACCTGCGTGGCAGCAAACGCGAAAACTGGTCAATATCAAAGCTTTTCTAAGCATGCAATCGAATGTTCATATCACGACTTTGTCTCTTGCAGTCTGTCTTTCGTCATCGCCTGTACCCTCTCTACCAACTCGTCGTTTAGCGGCGTTCTCACACCCACTTCTCGTCCTCGCCTTGCCCAGTATCCATTGATGTATCTGATTTCCGTCTCTCTTCTATGCCTCATATCCCATACCATGCTAACGGTCGTCGCTCTGTTCTTCTCGATTATATCCATAACAGTAGCATGCAAGGCTTTCGCTGAAAACCTTTCCTTTACTCCCTCTACGCCCTGTAGTTCAGGCAAAGCGAGAATGACAGACGAGATCTCTTGCATGAGCCTCATGTTGGTTTCTGGGATGCTTAGAATGTATGCTGTTACGGCATCTTCGAGCGCGCAGATAGGGTTGCTGAGAGCGTTACAGGCAAGCTTTTCTAGTTGTATCTGGAGTATGGTGGGCCATGGGTAAGCCTGGCAGTTCAGACGAGGTGCGCGAGGAAGAATTTCCAAGAGAGGTGAGGGTATCTGTGATATATCGCCGTCTTCTCGCGGGACGGGCCCTACCGATGTTGCTGCAGGTCCTGTATGGGTGACATCAAAAGGTCCGTTCAGAGTGATACCATGCGAGATCACACCCGTAATGTAATTTGGTCGCGTCTGTGGATCAGGCCACAAGAACATATTTGCGTCTTCTATCATGCCTGCCCCGTTCTGCAGGAATGTGATATTTGATGTGCGCGAGAGTCGGGGTAGAAGAGGTTGGAGGGCTGGCACAGTCTGCGTAGACTTGACGCATACGACAAGATCGTTGATAGTTTCGTCAGTTGGGGGTCCTGGTAGCTGTAGTACCTCAGCATTCCCAGCTATGCACAGCTCTTGCACCGGGTGCCATTCTTTTCCGTGCAATACTTCCACGTCATAACCCGTTCGGGCAATCTGTTGGCCCTCGCACGTCTGCAGTAGAAGAATCTTCCCGTTTCTTAGGTACTCGTTCATGAGAGAAGGACGATGTAGCAGCAGGTTTACTACTGGCCTTTTGGGTATCTCGGCAAGCGTGTGAGCTGTGAAAGTGCCTACACTTCCCAGGCCCAGAACATGGATGCGCGGGGAGGCTCTAGTGCTTGAAATGCTGCGATGGTGTGCGGGCTCCTCGGACGCCGACCCCCAGCTTCTGAAGGTGCCTGCGAGGGGATGGCAAGCTTCACGACGCCGAGAATGAAGAACATGCCCCGCTCGAGGCACCCCTATGACAGAGTTTAGACGCTGGCAAATTGCCATCTTGACCCACGTCAAGAATTGGAGATTTTCAGGAGAATAGTTCCTGCTCTTGATGATGGTGTTCCTGGTGGGTGTACATGTCGCGCTTTACGGCCTACGTTAGGAGGCTGACCCCACGCCAACCTAGGAAAAAACTAAACAGCCTAGAGCCTACGTTGATTTTAGGTCGCCTACTTTGCAAGTTTTTGTTCTAATGTAGTCTACAGACCTGTTCAATTTTCTTCTTCTATGTGGTGACCCTGCTTGCTACCTAGGAAGCCGCTGCCCCACCACGGATTAGTAGAAGGACACATGGAGACCAGAGAAATATGTCTACACCGTTGAAGCGGTGTACTCGACGGGTAAGTTTGGCGGAGATCGCAGAAGGAGCTGAGTCTGAAATTGTTGATACGAGGAAAGGTGGCTACCTGGGTATTGGAATGGCTACGTGGATGGTCGTACGGATGCGCCGATGGATGGCATGTTCCGCTCAGTTCCTGACTAACGGTAGATAGCTTCAGCCCTGACGCACCGCACCGCAGCCCCGGCCTCGGCTGGTGCTCACCTGGGTACTGCGATGCGGTAGCCGTGGTTCGCTCTGTTGGTGTGGCTGTCACGAGTGCACCGCCACGTGCTCGTGTGACATGAAACACGGTCGACGGTGTCTCTCCGGAACGCTACGTAATGATCCATGCGCATTGAAAGTTGCTGCAGCGTGGAAGGCGGGTCGAGAGCGCGCAACGGCTGACAGCGTCAGAGTGCTGGGCGCCTCCAACAAATCACCTTGCAAGCTTCACTGGTGGCCCGTGCCTCTCACGACGGCCAGCCCTCAGGCAGCTGTCGACGGCGGCGCGTTCGGTCGCTCAGTCGCTGCGTGCCCCTCGTCGCCGCTGTTGTCGTGCCGCCGTGTCTTCTGACGCTGCAATCTCCCGCCAGGACCTGCATCTGCCGGCGCTGGAGTACCCATCTTTGTTGCGACGCCGGCCAAGCGCATCCGCCATCCTCGAAGCGCCCACGTCGACGCAAGCGCAGGCGCCGCGTTTCTGCCCTCGATTCACTGCTCCAGCGTTCACCCCCCGTTCGTGCCAACGGCTCCGCGATTCGTAGCTCGTATTGCACTGTCCGCTAGGCTCTGGGACCCACAGGTTCCGTCAAAGGAGCCCAAGGAGCCTCTGGACGACGTTTCCGCGGCAGCGTCATGTCGTGATGGGACGGCCGCTCTGCTGATTTGATACGAGGACATGACCCACGAGTCCCGCCAGCGCTCCGCGTCCAACATATCGACGCCCTCCGACCGCTCTGCCCGTCGCGCACCGCGCCCGAATCGCAACCCGCCCACCAGCCTCCCGCTGCCCGAGATCCCCAGCGTCACCTCGTCGCCCTCGTCGTCGCTGCAGCCGCTGGGCCTGAGCAACCTCGGCTCGCCATATCCCTCCTTCTCCCCCGGCGGACCCAGCGCGCCTGCCTCGAGCCCACGCGGACGGGCGCATACCGTCCAGGGTCCAGCGATGCATCAATACATCCCCCCTCCGCCGCCCCAGCCCTCGAGCACGCCCGCCGGCCACATCGCCCTCCCCCCGCCGCCTCCACGGCCTACGGGCTACGGCAACCTGGGCGGCATCTCCATCCCGCCGCCTCCCCATGCCAACAATTGGGGTCCCCCGCGGCCCCAGTACCAGCAGCAAGGCTACGACCCGAGCCAGTATCGCAGCTACCCTCACAGCATCCCCCCTCCGCCAGGGCCCCCGCCGCAGCAGATCCAGCACGAGCGCGAACCTCCACTGACGTCAGCCACGTACATCCCCGGCGGCGAGTCATTCGGACCTGGTGTCGGCATCCCTCCGCTGCACACCTCGAGAGGCTACCCCGAGCCATACTACCGCGACGACAACTACTCCGCCAACGCCGACACGTCCGCCCAGGGCTTCTCCAGCAGCCTCCTCGAGAGCGTCCAGAGCGTGCAATATGGCTCCAACAACGGCTTCAACGCGCCCCCGACGCCCAGCAGTCGCAACCACCTCAACATACCGACCGAGAGAGCCCAGGTCTACGACTCGTCTGGACCGCCAACCGCCACGCTGCAGAACCCCATGGTCCAGAATCACGGCAGCGTCTATCACCGGTCCGAAAGCAATGGCACGACCCCCATATCCCCACATGACTCTTCGATGCACTGGCCAGCCGAACGCGTCCAACACTGGCTAGCGAGCAACAATTTCTCACGAGACTGGCAAGAGACGTTCAGGACACTGGGTCTGGAAGGCTCAAAGTTTCTGGACATTGGCCGCGGCCATGGCAGCAAAGGCAATGTAGCCATGATGCACCAGGTCATCTTTCCCCAATTGGCCAAGCAATGCACCGCAAGCGGGACCGGATGGGATCAGAACAGAGAGCGAGACGAGGGTCGCAAGCTGCGCAGACTTGTGCGCTCCATCGTGGAGACGGGCCATATCGCCAACCCCCGCGCAGCACCGCAACGATCCGACACTGGCATGACGAGCGCCGGGACAGAGGGTACTGTGGAGAATTCACCGTACATCGGCACCAGAGGCATGGACTTTGGATCAACGCCAACCACTGCTGGCAATGGCGAAGAGAGTCCGGGCCGTCAGCTGCTCTTGCACTCGCCTGGTGGTAGTACGAACCCGCCCAGACGCATCTCTACACAGCAACGCAATTTCACTGTGCCCGGTCTCGGCCCTACTCCAGATTTCTCAGAAGGACCTGCACGCAGTCCCTATTCGAGGGAGGTTCTGCAAGGCCTAGATCCAAAGCCTGTACGCCATAGCCCGAATGCATCCTCAGAGTTTGCGCCATCTTCATTGGGTGCATCGAACTATCGCCAAGCAAGTCCGCAGCAAAGCCCAGCGCTCCCTTCAGCCCGTCTTGCGACCAATGGCGGTCAGCTCAGTGCGGGTCTGAGCAACAACGGATCGCGGTACTATTCCCCGCATAACCGCGTCAACAGTACCGAATCCATCAACTCCACCTTTGCAAACACTGGCTCGGGTCCCCCGTCAAGCAGATCATTCGATAATCGTTCCGATAGTCGCAACGAGAACCGGAAGAACGGTTACGAAGGCTCACGACCAGGTACTGGACTAGCTAGATATGACTTGGAAGCGCCCACCAGCGCTAAAGATCATGAGAAAGGTTTCTTCAAGAAAATCATGGGCGGGCGGAAGAAGGAGAACCACCCATCTCCCGATGACACGAGCCTGGATTCACCCACTAGTCCGGCAAGTCATCGTACGCATCCAAGCGGGTCCCTGTTTGGGAAATCTGGCATGAACTCAAGCGAGACTTCCTTGAACGAGCGACCCCCTTCGAGACGATCAGCTCAGACAGACTCCGACAATCGAGCAACAGGTCGTACTCGCACATCCGGAAGAGAAGATCGCAAATACGCTTTTGTCACACCAGATGGCTGGAACTACCGGCTCATCGACATCACCAACGTAGATTCACCAGCAGCTCTACGAGCTGTGTGTTGTGAGGAGCTGAGTCAGGGTCTGAGCCAGATATCTGGTGTAGAGTTGCATCTCACGAATCCTGGGCAACAAGACCACGATCACCCGCTGTCCGACTCAAAGTTGTTGAAGGCGCGGTCGCAATATGGGAATCGAGTCGGCGAGCTCAAGATTTTTGTCAAGATACCGCAAGAGGGAACCGTACCTCCATCTGCCGGGCTAGGAGTGTCGCTACCCCATACAGCTGCTAGGTCTATCGATGAGGACGCATACTCTCGGCTGAACGCCGACTCTCAACTAGATTCTCCAGGAGGAAAGTCAGGAGAGTCCACGCTAGTCGCAGATAAGAGTGCAGCTCTTCGCAAGATGGCAGAGAAAGCCGAACCCATGCCGAACAATGCAGGTGACAGGCCTGCAGAATCGGCTTGGGAACCGCGTGATGACTTGGCCGAGGAGGAACGAAGAAAGCTGCTCGAAGCCGCTGCTGAAGAGCACCGCAAAGAAACAAAGCGGAAGCAGGAAGAATATCTGAGGAGTCGATTCCAGAGGGCCAATGGACACAGTCCTGACCTGAACCCCACTTCAGCCGACAACCTCAGCTACCGCAGTCAGCGTATTGTTGACTTTGATGAACCCCGCGCTTCTCCCTATGAGGACGTAAAGAAACCATTCGATGCTAAACCCAAGCAGCTTGTCCCACTGCGAGAGCCGCCACCAGTGCCAGCCGATACGAGCACACTGTTGAAAGCCAATTCGCTGTCGAGGGCCAAAAACCGCGGCTCATGGCCCGAGAGTGATGATGGCAAAGACAAGCGGAGATCAACAGAGTCGCAGTCAGAAAAGCGCAAAGCCATTCCTCAGGCTGCAAGTGGGCTGGGAGGCATCGCTGCTGCTATCATCGGCGCTGGTAATCTTGGGGCAGGCATAGGAGCAGCGAACAGGGCGCCACCAAAGGGTCCTCAACCAGCAAACAGCGAAGGCTCGCCTGAAAGCATTCGACCTTCACAACAGGTATTGCTGGATAATGGATTCGCAGCTAGATCTGGCTCCGGAAGAAATAGTCCAGGTGGGTCACCTCGCAGCCCCGGCGAGCTCACAATGAGCAAGGGAAATATACCTTTCAGAATACCTGACTATGAGGAAGCTTTCGGAGACGACACGTCCAACGAGAGGCCAGACCTCAGCCTTGAAATGCCCGATCCGACAGCACCGCGATCGAGAGACGAGCGGTCTCGTTCGCCAACTCGAAGTCCCCATACAGCGCACGCTCCAGAGTCTACCTTGAGCAGAGAACCATCACGGGTGTCAGTGTACGGTCCCACTCACGACTTCGAAGAAGCGCGAGTGTCGTTCATCACGAAGTCTCCAAATCTGGAGCCTATGGATTCTGACGACGATGATTCTGACGATGGCTTGTTCGCTGCGCCGCTCGCAGGACGAGCTGGTCCACCCACACCTGCCCAGAGCACTCCCATCACTCGGACCAACTCCCGCAGCCAACGGCCAAACCTTACACTCAAGACACAACGGTCAAAGAACTCGCTAGCGCAGGTCACGGAAAAATCTGAGCAAAGCGCAGCTGGTGATCGCGATTCGCAGCCAAGCGACTTCCACCCCGAGTCGGCTGCGTCTGCAACGTGGACCGACTCGCCAAATGATACGAACAAGTTTTCCCGTCGAGAATCATTCGCCAGCGATGTCTGGGCAAATCGTCCACCAGCTGAAGCCCTCGTGGAACACCTTGACGAGCTCTTCCCGAACGTCAACCTCGATCAGCCGATGCTTGAGGAAGAGGAAGCGGATGGTGCTGCAGAGTCAGCCAACGATCCCCCGCCTATACCCGCCGAGCCCACTCCTCAACCTCTCACCCGTGGTGGTGCAGGACTGCAGAGTATCGCGCAACGCAACATGAGGAAATCAGGCGCTGGTTTGGGCCGCACAAAGTCTATTCGTGAAGTAGTGAAGTCGCAATACCAGCCACTCGACAAGAGGCCACTCCCAGGCCAGGCACATGCTGGTGCCGGTCCATCGCGTGTTGCTACGTTACGCAATGGTGGTGACATTGTCAGGCGAAAGTCGACGAAGATGTTCAACGCCAGGACTGAGCAAGTGCGACCTCAGCGCGGCTCACGTCTCGTTATGGAGACGATACCCCAAGATCATCTGCCAAGTGTTCCATCGCGACAGCCAACATTCAAGTGGATGAAGGGACAGCTCATCGGCAAAGGTACATTCGGTCGCGTCTATCTCGGTATGAACATCACTACCGGAGAGCTTATCGCAGTCAAGCAAGTCGAAGTCAACGCCAAAGCAGCTGGTTCAGACAAAGACAAGATCAAGGAACTCGTCAAGAGTCTGGATCAGGAAATCGACACCATGCAGCATCTCGACCACCCCAACATTGTGCAGTACCTCGGATGCGAGCGCAAAGAGTACAGCATTTCCATCTTCCTTGAATATATTTCCGGTGGCAGTGTAGGATCCTGCATCCGCAAGCACGGGAAGTTTGAAGAGTCTGTCGTCTCTTCGCTCACAAGACAGACGCTGCTCGGTCTCTCTTATCTCCACCGCGAAGGCATCCTCCATCGCGATCTTAAAGCCGATAACATCCTGCTCGACCTCGACGGCACGTGCAAGATCTCCGACTTTGGTATCTCCAAGAAGAGTGACAACATCTATGGCAACGATGTAACAAACAGCATGCAAGGTTCCGTCTTCTGGATGGCGCCCGAAGTAATTCGCTCTCAAGGCCAGGGCTACTCAGCTAAAGTAGACATCTGGTCTCTGGGTTGCGTAGTCCTTGAGATGTTTGCGGGTAAACGTCCTTGGTCCAAGGAAGAGGCCATCGGTGCCATTTACAAGCTTGGTAGCTTAAACCAAGCCCCTCCCATCCCCGAAGACGTCTCCAGGGTGATTGGCGTAGAGGGCCTGAGCTTCATGTACGACTGCTTCACCATTGACCCCATGGAGCGACCTACAGCCGAGACATTGCTACGAGCGCCATTTTGCTTTAGCGATCCAAATTACAATTTCCTGGACACGGAGCTCTATGCTAAGATCCGGGGAGCTTTTCAGTAGTTGTTGACATATTTGCGATAAATTCAATTTAGGTGGGCGATGATGACGACGAATGTATTGGAATGGTCACAGTGTATATTGGTTTTATATACCCACTTTTCGTTTGTTTTCTGAGGATGATGACGTCTTTGTAGCGAGCTGCGCGGATTGAAATACGATACCTGGTGTACTCAGTACTCTTTTTCGAACATACTTGTGACGTGTCTTGCCGTTACAATAGGTTCTTGGAAACTGGTGGCTATTAGCGTCAACTAGGGTTCATATTTGGGTACACAAAAATAATGGTGTTGCGGGTAATAACTGTAGGGAAGCCGAAGTGAGAGAAGCATTGATCGTACTGCATTACCTATCCAGCTACGGTTCAATCTATGACACGCTCTAGACAGATGGCACGATGTGTCTACTTTATCCATCTTCGATCGCGTACAAGGCGACTGGATCAGCGTGGGATGGTATATACAGGGTTCACCACTATCTGCCGTCAGCGATTGCGTGTTCAGCGGACATGAATCCCATCCTCTTCGTCAGCTTATGATGGCGATCAACCTTTTGAGCTACTTCGGATTGGGGCGGCGGTATGTCCCGACTGCCGAAACTTAGATGCTGTACGTCCTTTCGGCGCTTTCCTGGTACTCAATGCGGTAGCTTCAGCCGAGCACATACTGGTGTCTCGTCGGTTCAGTAGTTTATTGGGGTCTTCGCCTCTCTTCTGCTGTTGTATCACCATGAAGAGACGGTTCGATCATGTTTTCTGGTAAGGTCAGAGACATTGCTGCACTGCTGAGCCGTTCGCTCTGGTTGCGCTTTCATCACTAACGAGACACTGCCCCATTTCGCAACGCGAGCCGCGCCGTACTTCTGCTTCGTCCATCGTGACGCAGGTCACGGTCCGAGACATTGGGAAGCATACGGACATCATGCTTGTATACGGCGAGGAAAGATGACAGCCCCAAAGTCAGATGATGTGAGGTACCACTCCAAGGCGAGTGAAACGTTTCGCCATAGTACTGCAATCAATCGAAGGCGGCAATTGTCTCTTAGTGTGCGAGTATACGGACGGGAACTGAAAATAGAAGGCGATTTTGTGAACTGAACAAGGGAAACGATGTCACAAAGACAAAGTGGACTGAGTTGCGCGTTACCTTCAGCCGCTTACTCTCGGCGACCCTCGTGGCGGATCTGACACTCGCCTGTGGAGAGGACCCATCCTCGCATCTTACTCGGAGTGCCGTGGGTCTGAACACAGGCGTTATTGCCGCGCCGCCGCAGGTGCTGGGCATGCAGCGCACCGACCGAACCGAACAACGACGCCAGCTAACGATACTTCTAGATTTTGGAAGATCCGCCGTCTGGGTTCGCGGACGTCACTCCACGGCAAAAGCACTTGTTGAGCGGCGATATCGATAAAACATCTCCACAGAGCAAAAGCTTGATCCGATTCAAGCACTGCAATATGCGGAAAATAGGAGGGTTGAAACAACGATGTGGACGGCCTTGACATGTGGACGGTGATCCATGACTGGTGAAACAGGGCCTGGCGTGTTCCTGCATAAGATCGGCCAACAAGCGAGCTGCCGAGGAAGGCAGTCAGCAACACGCCTGAGGAGCGCATAACGTGCATAGTAGAGGCCATCCCCATGCGGACGGGGAGCAGAGCTGCAAGATGAGGATGTGCATTGATAAGGCCGTGGTGAGTTCTGCTACACCGTCCTGGTGCGTGAGCTTGCATGGGGGCGTGGGCGTAACGGTAAGCAGCGTGCGCAGGACACGCCGCAATCAAAAGATGCGAGAAGTGGATGCAGAAGGCGAAAGTACCGGTCCTCTTGTGGACCGCGAATGGTTCTGCAGCCGGAGCGTGCCTGAGGCGTCTGCGTGGCTGTGCTGGGCCCGCATGGAGGGTTTGCAGCCGATGTGCGTCTTTTTCCTTTTGCCATGGATGAACGACTCGCTGCTCGGGCCCACGTTCAGGCGGACAGGTCGCACGATGACAGGGAGCGCAGTCCGTCGTGCCATCTCCCACGGTAGCGATACATCACGTCGCGACGACAGCGTGGGCAGGCAGCGAGGCGCACGCCGGCGGCAGTGGGCTCCCAAATCACCAGCCTGCAACGGCCCCGGCGTGCGACGTCTTGCCCGCATCGAGCCAAGTCAGGGGAAGGCGGCGCGGATCACTCGTCTTTAGACGTTTCGGGACCACCAGGGGACCAATCGTCGCCCGTCACTACCGATGCCGCCACGAATACGACTACACCCCCGGTCCAGGCTCAACCGCCTCGTGTCCAAAATGGCGACCAACCGCACCGCCGTAGGCCGAGTTGAGCATGGACTGGGAATAGCATGCCTCGATATATGACCCTGCTGCTGACCCGCCCCTGCTCCGTTTACGCCGCAACTCTGATTCCTCGTTCTTTGACGTCGAGGTCTCTACCGCACCCGTTTTCTTTCCAGACCTTCAGGCTTGCTCCAAAGGTCGTTACGCTCTTTAGCATCGGTTTTAATAGTCCTTCCTTCTTTAGGTTCTCGAGTCACCTTCACTTTCGACTCTTGGCCGTCCCGGTCCTTCAACCAAACACAAAAAGCACCCACTTACCTTCTTCACCATGGCCAACTTCAGCAAGCCCGCCAGCATGATGACCATGGTCTTCGGTCTGTTGTCGCTTCTTCAGTTCACCGTTGCTTTCCAGCATGGCTCCCACCACCACGCACACCCTGCTCGCGCCGCCAGCGATGCTTCCATTGCGGCCCACATCAACGAGATCGAGGGTGAGCTCACCAAGCGCCAGTCGAGCGGCCCCATCGCCATCACCGGTGTCTGCAGCTCTGGCACTGCCTCCAACGGCCAGTGCAACGGCGGCAGGACTTCTGCTCCCCGTCTTGAGATCCGTACCTTGGCGCGCAACGCCGACCAGTGGAATCTGTACCTCCTCGGTATGGAGAGGTTCATGGGCAAGGACAAGGACGACATGCTCTCGTACTACCAGGTCTCTGGTGTCCACGGTCGTCCTTTCCAGACCTGGAACAACTTCCCCGCACCTCTCCTCAACCAGCAAGGTTTCTGCCCTCACGGAGGTTCGCTCTTCGGTTCCTGGCACAGGCCTTACCTTGCCATTTACGAGGTGTGTATCTTGATAACTCATTTGATCGTACGTTGACAGTTCGCAGCAAGCATGGTACCAGAGCGTCATGGAGGTGATCGCTCAGTTCCCCTCCAACCAGCAGCAGCGATGGAGGAACGCTGCGTCCACTCTCCGTATGCCATACTGGGACTGGGCTATGGACCCCAACGGCGGCCCAACTGTCCCCACTCAGATGCGCGACTCGACCGTTACTGTTACCAAGCCCCAGGGAACCGTCACTATCCCCAACCCGCTGTACAAGTACAGCTTCGGCAGCTCGCTTCCCTCTGAGATGGGTGGAGGCCCATGGAACAGCTTCCCTGAGACTCTCCGTCGCCCGGTCGCCAACCCTACCCGCAGCAACAACAACGAGATGAACGCCCGCTTCAACTCCATCCGCGTCTCTCTCCGTGACCGTGTCTTTGCCCTGTTCTCCAGCAAGGCTAACTGGGGCGCTGCCAGCACTTCTGCCATTGGTGTCCGCACTGACCTAAGCGGCGGTGGCGTTGACAGCTTCGAGTCCGTCCACGATGCCATCCACAACACTGCTGGTGGTGAGTCTGGTGGCCACATGTACTACCTCGATGTCTCGGCTTTCGACCCCCTCTTCTGGCTTCACCACACCAACGTTGACCGTCTCCTCGCCATGTACCAGCTCATCACCCCCAACACCTACATCTCCAACGGTAACATCCCCCGCCCTATGGCTCAGTGGAACCAGGGTGAGCCCAAGAACCAGTATTCTCCTCTCAAGCCCTTCACCAAGGACACCGCTGGCAACTACTTCACCTCGGTCGATGTTAAGGAGACCCGCACTCTCGGATACTACTACCCTGAGACTAGCGACCGTTCTTACCAGCAGGTTGCTCGCGCTGTTACTCAGCTTTACGGTGCCGGCCAGAGGACTCTAACCAAGCGTGACGGTGACGAATCCGCAACTGGCCAGTACCTTGGACGTCCCATCAAGGAGGGTGACTACCACACTGTTCTTTCCGTCATTGCCAACAAGTACGCGCTTGAGGGATCCTACACTGTTCACTGCTTCGTTGGAAAGCCTAGCAGCAACTCCACCTCCACCAAGAACTCCACTGCGCCCGCGACCGAGTCAACCTACCCGCTCCTCAACATTACCACTCCTCTTCTTTCCATCACCATTGGTGGTGGCTCCGCTCCCAGCACCGAGGCTCCCAGCAACGAGACCGATGCCGCCTACGATCCATCCACCGACTACACCCAGGACCCCAACTACGTCGGTTCCTATGGTATCCTTGGTGCTATGATGCAAGGTGGTGCCAACGCTTCCCAGGCTCTCATGACTGAGGGTGCTCTTCCCTTGACCACCTGCCTCCAGGGTAAGGAAGCCGCTGGCGAGCTTGAGTCGCTCCGTCCTGAACACGTTGAGCCCTACCTCAAGGAGAACCTCTACTACAAGGTTGTTGGTGTCAAGGGCGAGATCGACGCTGACACCATCCCCGACTTCCACATCAGCGTCAAGTGCAACAAGGCCAAGCCCGCTGCCTCTGACGACGAGCTTCCCGACTTGAGCGCTCCTTACGAGGTTCTTGAGAGCGTCACTGCCCACCTCCCCGCTGGAAAGCCCTTCAAGTACATTCCCACTGCTATCGACATTCCTCTGCCCGATGGCCCAGAGTACCTCGAGCCCAGCAGCGATGGTTCTAAGCCCCAGAGCCCCAGCAACGGTGTCTTCCCTTACCCATCCATGCCCTGGGAGGAGGAGGGTTACTGCATCACCAAGCAGACCATTGAGTACGTTGACGAGCAAGGTAACTTCTTGTACTCGGAGATGTAAGGTGGTAGATTTCGGTTATAGAAGAACGATGTGGTGGAGAGAAGCATGTGTATGCTTGCGTATGAAGGAACCTTTACATAATACCTTTCGATGTACATTGGACATGAGAGCTTTTTTTTCCTTACAAAATGTCAATTGATATCCAGCAGTGGTTCTCGTATAGTTTTTCCTAACGTCATCTTCTCCTTGATGTCTCCGTCCATAGCGTAGGCGTATGTAGCGCTTTGCAATATGACTATAAACATACTTCCGTTCCGATGCCGTGCATGTGCTGCTTCATGACATGAAATTGTGAGTGCTGGTGATGGTTTCATGAAGCGAGATCTGCCTAATCCGGAATGCCTGCTGTATCTGTTAAGAAGACGATATGCGCAACTGTGCACTCATGTCGGACATCACATAGAAATCGTTTAGCCAAGGCAAGCTGCAGGCATGACGAGCTCCGGCTTGCGTGGACGACGGCGCTGTGCCCCGCTGGTACCAAAAGGCGCTAGTGGCTCTTTGGCCGATGTCTCTGGGCACGCACCGCGAGCACCACATCACGGCAGTATCTCTCATCCTGCTTGACCATTCCTAGGGTCCCTCAGGCATTCCTGCGTAAGTCCTACACCATCGTCGTCATCGCATACCGCGTCTGCACATTGTGTCTCTTCAGCATGGCGTCTGAGGCGCGCAGTCGCGACAGCTTCCCGGTCCTAATGCGGGTGTTAGCATTTTATGATTGCCATGCTGATATCTCATAGACCAGTCCGCCCACCATGCCCGCCATGCTCGATGATCCCACCGCGCCGGTGATATATAGGACCTCTGGCGACGTGCCGTACCCTCCTCCTGGTGGCCCGCTACCTGTAGGCATTGCACCATGTCAAGTCATCCTGCGCGATCGCGTGACTACCGCAACGATCATACCCTTCTCTGCGCCGAATCAAGTACCCCTCACATTACTGGCATATCTCTGCGACCAACTGGGTCGCGAGATAGAAAAGGGAGATACGTACCCCATGGTTGATCCGCTCGCTCTTGAGGCTTTCGGTCCGTACTGGTTCGGTGTCTTTGGTGCGATTATGCTGCTGGGAGAGATCCAGGACGGTCGCGAACTACACGAGATGGCGCGGAGGGGTTGCGACTGGGAGAGGGAATGTCTGGGTAGCTTCTACATCAAGCCCAACTACCCAGGACGGTCGAGTCATGTCTGCAATGGCGGGTTCCTGGTCACGGATGCGTCGCGTAATCGGGGTGTCGGTCGCTTGATGGGCGAGACTTATCTGGACTGGGCTCCGAAGCTTGTGAGACTCGCCGTGAGGGTTACATCGCATGCGCTAACACGCTCAGGGCTATACCTACTCCGTCTTCAACCTCGTGTACGAAACCAATGTTGCTTCATGCCGCATATGGGATGCCCTCGGCTTCAAGCGGATCGGTCGCGTGAAGGGTTGCGGTAACCTGAAGTCGTATCCCAGCGAGCTAGTCGATGCCATCATATACGGAAGGGACCTGGGTCAGGATGACGAGTTCGTGTCTGAGGAGCGCTTCGACAAGATCCGCTTCTACCTCAAGAACGGAAAATACCCCAACGGTGCTGATCGAGCAGAGAAGAGCCGTCTCCGTAGCGCGGCGACGCACTACAAGCTCACACCCGGAGAGGGCGACGGCCCTGAGAAGTTGTGGCTCAAGGGCAAGGAGGTTATTGCGGATCCTAAGCAGCAGTATGAGATTGCTCGGGAGATACATCACAAGTCGCATGGGGGCATCAACAAGACTACGGCAGCGATTGCGGAGCTCTACCATTGGGTTCGCATAAAGGAGACCGTCAGCCAGGTCATTCGCAACTGTCCAGAGTGCAGCGAGATGAACAAGGGCCTGTCGGCTATGCGCCAGGGTCAGAATCAAGCACGGGCAGAGGCGAGGTCAGGATCCAGTTTCCTGTCATCAACCACTACCCAGCCAACTCTGACACCAACACCGCCGAGCTTGTTCTCTCCAACACAACCACCACCTCGTTCAGACTCACCGGGTGGTCAGCTGCAGCTTGAAGCCGCACAGCACCAGGCCGCAATCTATCCGCAGTACACCCAAGATAACGGCTACGACCTGCCAGTCGATCCCGCACTCATGCATGGTTTACAGGCCAACACCAACCTTGCCGATCTTCCGCCATCACCGTTCCTTGCAGCTCAGGCGAATGGTGTACCTCATGCGGGGGAGCTTGATCATCAGCGCATGAGTCTTGACCCGAGCTTAGATGAGCGGGCACCCACTGCAGGGGAGGAGATGCGTAGGAGGTTGAACCGTGTGAGTCAGTATGAGTGAGTAGATGTAGTGTTGTTGAGTGAAGTGTTGAACTCACCAGCGTATGGCGAAGGTGAGTAAACCAGTGATACCAGACATGTAGGCGATGGGAAATGTGTATGAAGAAGCCTCAGGAGAATACGTGGAGGATCATACCCAGGATATAGCGGAGTCTCCGATGATGCAAGTAGCACAACGATGAAATCATTGCAAAACTCTGGTAGATTTGAATCATACATGTGATGGTGTCTACTTGAGTTGATCTTAATTGCTGTCTGACAGTATCTAAGCTAATGGCTACATATCTGCGGCTCTCCCATCAAAATCGCCGGCTCACATCTTACCCCTCTCACTTTATGTGTTTCGAAAGTCCCCCTCTTACATATGTCGACCTAATTCTTTCCTTCCACTCCAAATCAAACATCTTCGGATAACCTCATCCTCTTCCTCTTCCCATTTAACCCTCGAACAAACCCCATTCCTTCACTTGGAAGCTCTCCAAAATCTGCTCCTTGACCGCCTTGCTATCCTTCATCAACTGCGTTTCTCCACCTTGCTGTTCTGCTGGCGTGTATTCGCCTGGATAGTGTGGGATGTTGACTGATACCATGACCTGCGAGAAGTGTTAGCCAACAATGGGATAAACTGTAGATGTCTGGGAAGAAGAGGTATACATACATCAGTGCCTTGCTCCTTGAGACGGAGAAGGAGGAGGTGAATATACGTGAATTCGGGAGTCTTGCGGTTGGGATGGGGATTGGGTGTTGGTGGTGTTTGGATGAAGGATAGTGCTAGGACTGGCTTGTCTCTGTCATTGTGGTCAGCCATTCATCCACGCTTCTGTATACAAAACTTGATCCTCTCTGTTTTCGATCCTACTTCGTCTTTCCAGAATGATGGCGTGGAATACTTACGGCAAACTCTTCATCACAGCACGTTCTTGCAAGATAATCGTACTCTGATCTCCTGTGCCCTCGACCAGGTCTCCAAAATGATATTGAAGCGCTTCTTCATCGCTGTTCTTTTCGACATACTCTAGGATCTCAACGACGATACTGGAGTAGCCGTTGTTGTCGAGGTAGACTTCCTGGTGATCGGGGATTTGTCGGATTTGACTATCGAGTCATTTTGTTAGTATGCTACTTTCGGGGAGAGCCGTTCTTGCCAATTTAGGCATTTTGGACGCGGGTGTTGATGGAAACGCGTGCAAAGGGAAGGCGCGGGATGTGGGGGCGCGCAGATTGAGAGAACTTACGAGGCGTCGGCGAAGTTTGAGGGTAGATCGAGGGTTATCGCGCCGCCGTAGAGGGGTGTGTTTGTGAATGCCATTTTGTAATGTGTCTCTATCTCGACTTGTTGCGCTCTCTGCCGGGGTTGATGTCGTTCTTATGTTGTGACTTTGATGTTGGTGATGCAGCGAAGGGATGTAGGTAGCCACCAGGCAGCATCAGGCAGCATGGAAAACGGCAACCTACAACGTATCTCTGACAACGCAGCAACAGCACAGCAGCTCACTTAAATTGCTGTGAAGGAATTGTGTGAGTAGCATCCAATTCACATATTGTTACTACTTATTTGGGTCATTCTTTTTTCCAGAATGGGCTCAAAACAGCCTTCAAATGACATCGTTGATTTGGTCAACAAGACACTACAGTGACTATGATATGGTCAAGACACTTTGGAAACTTGTGTTTCGATTTGAAATGTAGGGTATCGTCTGAACTTTTTGTCCTTCTATATGTCCCAAATGCCAGTTTTGAACGCCGTGCAATGCATGTTCTTCTACGAGCCCGAGAGCGTCTAATCGCAGCTATCGTGTTGCCACTAGAGTGATATCTGATCCCCCGAAAGCATTTCAGTGGTCGTCCCACACTCCCTATCCTGCCATCCATCTGCCATGGACTGCACATCAGATAGTCTTGGCCGTTGCCGTGACCTCAACCTGATGCTGCAACCTGGTCAACCTCCATTGGGGCCGTCGCTGTGGTCGTACGCGTTCCGTTGTTGGTCGTGAGGCCTATCGCTGCCTCTGCTTCTTTCTGAGAGTATGGCTCTTCGCGAAGTTGCTTGACTCTGCGGATTGATTAGAACGAATCATTATAATCGCAAACACTGGAATTCCTACCTGCGCTTGTGGACCTTGCCCTTCTGGTGTGCGACAAAGTTGGCGTCGCTCTCAAAAAACTTTGCGCATTCCTTGCAGTAGAATTCGCCCAGGCCGGGCAAATCTTCTATGGGCTTCGCATCCTTGAATTCCGCGAGATGCTTCTCGTCGCGCAGGTCGGCGTGGATCTGGTCGAGGTCGCGCGTGTGTCGACGTGTCTTCTTCTTGGAGTCTTGTCCGCGTATGGCTGGCATGGTGGGCAGTATCCGCGGCCGTCGGTTATCCGTGTGGAATCGTGATGGTCGGCTATAGAGAAAGTTGCAGTGTGGGGACACCTGCCGACGGGGGCCCGTGCCCGGTCTGCAGGTCAGAAAGACTTGTGGAGCTAGGTCGAATCAGGTGCTGGTAGATGCTACTGTCGCTCCAGACCCGAAATTTGCCATGTCTGCAGGCCTGCACGCTGACTCGGCACACAATTGTTGAGTCGGAAAAGGACGCGCAGGCCGCCGGCAGCAGTGCGCGCGTGAAAGTGCTATCGCAGAACGCCAATCACCTGCAAAAGGTACGAGCGCGGGGTTGGTGAACCGCTGCCGGGTATGACGTCTGGGTGAACACCTATAGCTTCGCGACACATGGCTGCGCGGCCTCCAAGACGTGAAATAGCAGCGGGCAGCCAGTCGCACACAGCGCAATTACTCTCTCCATAATTGCGTCTCCATTACATCGCCCTTGCACGTGAAGCGGGCCAACGGGACTGCGCTGCCGACCTGTTTCTGGTTCTGGCGCCGAGGTATTCCGCACGCAGCTGGGGCTAGACGAACCAATCACGCCCCTCGTGATCCTCATTAGTTATCGCCCAACTTGAGGCAGCTTCTGACGTTCTTTTCCTCCGCTTCCTCCATCACTCTTCTCTCCCCACCACTCCCCTCCTCAAACTTCACCATGCAGAAGTTCTCGAGGCTCGGCCGCCTCGGCCAGAGCCTTGCTTCGCGCAGGCAATTGGCCACCGTCAGCGATGCTCCCCTCTCTCGCAAGGTCGAGATGACCAACTGGGAGAAGGGCCACTACATCAACTACCAGAAGATGAACGAGAACCTCGAGATTGTTCGTGCCCGCTTGAACCGCCCGCTCACCTTCGCCGAGAAGATTCTCTACTCCCACTTGGACGACCCCCACGGTCAAGAGATTGAGCGCGGCTCCAGCTACCTCAAGCTCCGCCCCGACCGTGTAGCTTGCCAGGATGCCACCGCCCAGATGGCCATTCTTCAGTTCATGTCAGCTGGTCTGCCCTCCGTTGCCACACCCACTACCGTCCACTGCGACCATCTTATCGAGGCCCAGGTTGGTGGTGAGAAGGATTTGGAGCGCGCCAACGAGATCAACAAGGAGGTCTACAACTTCTTGTCCACCTCTTGCGCAAAGTACAACATTGGTTTCTGGAAGCCCGGCTCTGGTATCATTCACCAGATCGTGCTTGAGAACTACGCTTTCCCTGGTGCTCTCCTCATTGGTACCGACTCGCACACTCCCAACGCCGGTGGTCTCGGTATGGCCGCCATTGGTGTCGGTGGTGCTGACGCTGTCGATGTCATGGCTGGTCTCCCCTGGGAACTGAAGGCTCCCAAGGTCATTGGTGTTAAGCTTACTGGCAAGCTCTCCGGCTGGACTGCTCCCAAGGGTACGTATTTGCAATATTGGGTTTCGAAGCGGGGCAATCACGCTAACGAAGTCTATAGACATTATCCTCAAGGTTGCTGGTATCCTCACCGTCAAGGGTGGAACTGGTGCTATCGTCGAATACCACGGACCCGGTACCGAAAGTCTCAGCTGCACCGGCATGGCGACTATTTGCAACATGGGTGCTGAGATTGGTGCCACCACCTCGCTCTTCCCCTTCAACGACCGCATGTACGACTACCTTGCCGCCACCAAGCGCCGCGACATTGGTGACTTCTCCCGCGAGTACGCCGCCCAGCTCCGCGAGGATGAGGGTGCCGAATACGACGAGCTCATCGAGATCAACCTTGACGAGCTCGAGCCCCACATCAACGGTCCCTTCACTCCCGATCTAGCTACACCCATCAGCAAGTTCAAGGAGGCTGTCAAGGCCAACAAGTGGCCTGAGGAGCTTAAGGTCGGTCTCATCGGTTCCTGCACCAACTCTTCCTACGAGGACATGAGCCGTGCTGCCTCGATTGCTGAGGACGCCATGTCCCACGGTGTCAAGGCCAAGTCTCTCTTCACTGTCACCCCTGGATCCGAGCAGATTCGCGCCACTATTGAGCGTGACGGTCAGCTCAAGACCTTCGAGGAGTTCGGCGGCATGGTCCTCGCGAATGCGTGCGGTCCGTGCATTGGACAGGTATGTTGTATCCCAGTCATGGTAGCCTGGAGGTATTCGATACGTTTTGTCTGGTCTCTTGATAAAACAAACGCTCTCGTATGCTTCAAGGCTACCTTTTCCCTCCCTATTTCAACGTAGCCTGGAGGTATTCGATACGTTTTGTCTTGTCTCTTGACAAAATAAACGTGGTCGTATGCTTCAAGGCTACCTATCATCCTCTACTTCTCAGAGCCCGAATGCTGACGACCCAACGGTGGGACAGAAAAGATGTAAAGAAGGGCGAGGCCAACTCGATCATCTCGTCGTACAACCGTAACTTCACTGGCCGTAACGACGCAAACCCCGCCACCCACTCTTTCGTCACCTCCCCCGACCTTGTCGTTGCTATGACTATTGCTGGAACGCTCGACTTTAACCCCCTTGTCGATGAGCTGACTGGAGCCGACGGCAAGAAGTTCAAGCTTAAGGAGCCCTCCGGCATGGGTCTCCCCGCCAACGGCTACGACCCAGGCCAGGACACTTACCAAGCGCCTCCATCTGATCGCTCATCCGTCTCCGTCGCTGTCTCGCCCACCTCCGACCGTCTCCAGCTTCTCGAGCCTTTCAGTAAGCAAACTCCATGTACAAATGCATAACGCATACTAACTTTTCAAGGTGCCTGGGATGGAAAGGATGCGAAGAACCTTCCTATTCTCATCAAGTGCCAAGGCAAGACCACTACCGACCACATCTCTATGGCCGGTCCCTGGTTGAAGTACCGTGGACACTTGGACAACATCTCCAACAACATGTTGATCGGTGCCATCAACGCTGAGAACGGCGAGGCCAACAAGGTCAAGAACCTTCTCGACGGATCTTACGGTGCCGTTCCTGATGTCGCCCGCAACTACAAGAAGAACGGCGTCCCATGGGTTGTCATGTAAGTACCTTTCCTATACACGCTTATCAGCCTCTTGCTAACTTCGATCGCAGTGGAGACTGGAACTACGGAGAAGGCTCTTCCCGTGAGCACGCTGCGCTTGAGCCCAGGCACTTGGGTGGCGCTGCCATCATCACCCGCTCCTTCGCTCGTATCCACGAGACCAACTTGAAGAAGCAGGGTATGCTTCCCCTTACCTTCTCCGACCCTGCCGACTACGACAAGATCGGTCCCAATGACCGTGTGACCTTGGCTTCCACCGAGCTCGCCCCCGGCAAGCCCCTGACCATGACCGTCCACCCCGCCGACGGATCCAAAGAATTCCAGGTCAAGCTCTCGCACACCTTCAACGAGGGCCAGATCGAGTGGTTCAAGAACGGCAGCGCTCTTAACACCATGGCCAAGAATGCTAAGCAGTAAATGCGTAGAAGAGAAAACGAACGAAAACAATCACCACCGGGGATGTAAATACGGAGGACGGAATACCCCGCAAATGCTTCACGATTGGGGATGAAAGTCAAATCAGGGGTGGAGCAGGAATATGAAGAGAGAGCTGGGCGTCCGCAGACGGGCGCAGCAGTAACGGCTCCTGGGTCGATCTTTCGGGCTCAAAGTAGTTGGGTTTGCTTGTATTTGTGATGATTAGCATGCAATGTATGACTGATTTTTTCTTGTTACAAGCCGTAAATGCTGTGATGTGAGTGCCGAATTACGAATACGTATAATCCTGTGAAAAGCGTATGCAATGGCATGAGGCATCGTGAAGCACACATTGTAAATTTCGCGTCTGAGTTGTGGTGGGTGGGCAACTGCTGCGAATACCTCCAGGACATGTCTTGTCGATTTGTACGACTGATAAAAGTTGGATGTATTCGCCTCAGCAACTGCTAGAATTCGAACATTCAAGCCATGAAATTTCGCATGTTGCACCTCGGAGCACACCGCGCGCAAGCTGACCTCGGAAGACACGGTGCACGACACCGCCGCAAACGTGCGAGTGGATCCTGGACCCGTTCGCGCTAGTCGCCGGGACAACGGCCGATAACAAACACGCTCGGCAGTTCTTCCAACGTCTGGACATCCTTGCGCGAACGACCTTCTTGGAACCAATCGCGCACACAACAGCTTGAATATCCTTACATATTACAAGATTACATATCACATAATCTCAACATGGCGCGTCTACGCAAACCGAGCCCGAACGAAACCAGCATCTTCATGCCGCCGTCCGAGACGAGAGCAAGCCGATCCAGCCCCCGAAAAGCCACACTACGATACGCATCATCACAAGAAGATGATAGCTCGATACTTGTACCAAAGAGGTCGAGGCGCACCGCGCAAGACATCAGCATATCGCAAGACGAAGAGCAGTCCTTCCGCATACCTTCGATGGCAACGCCAAAGGATGCGATCAGCCCCCGCAAGCAACGTGTATTGCGACCGGTCGAGAGCAATAGTCGACTACTTCGAAAACTGAGTGACGAAAGTCTAGCAAGCCCTGAGAAGAGGCAAAGAGAGAGGAGAGTGCGAAGTGGAACAACAGATACAGATGTGGGAAATAGGAATGGACTCATGTATGCCAAAAGCCTGGCTAGAAGCGTGGTGAAAAAGCAGAACAAGAAGGGCAAGATCAATGTCGTAGGAGAAGTCGAGGCACAAGAGGCCGCCCAGAGGTCACGAAGCAGAAAACACGAGAGCACAGAGGAGGCAATCGCGCAAGACGACGAGGATGCCGAGGCCGAAACAAGTCTGTGGTGTGGCGACGAGGAAGCGGAGACACAAGAAGAGGTCGCTGAACCAGTCATCGAGATCAGCGAGGATGATGAAGAGGACGAGCCTATCCTAAAGTCGCGAACAAATCAGCGACAACCGCGCGCACGGCGCGTCGTATCTGACAGTGAGGAGGACGAGAGTGAGCTAAGCGCACCACAACCTACCAAGCAGCCCCAGCAACCAATCTTCAAGATTCCCGAACTCAAACCGCCAACTGATCTGACTTCCATGCGACCGCCACATCGAAAGGGTCATAGTACGATATCAAATTGGGCGCAGGAGGTCGTCGACCTCACCGACTCACCGGAGGCCCCGGAATCTTTCGTGCTTCCTGAACGCACCCACGCCCGATCAAGCTCTTTCGCAGCATCTTCTCGGCCTACTAGCTCAGCATCGAATGGTCCGCTTGCGATTCTTACGTATTCGCCCACACCTACCAAGCAACGCTCGCCTCGAAAAGCTCCGCCCATCTCGCGACCAGCCACTCCTCCCCTGGCACCTCCCAGTCCCACCAAGCTCGTCTCGCCCTCGAAAAAGAAGCCCGTGATCCCCAAGGCGGCCGATCTAGACGGAAGACCAAGCCTTGACGCGTTCTGGAATCCTGCAGCTGTAAACGACTGGACCGACCGCCACTCGCCAGCTAAGCAGCTCGTGTCGCCTAAGAAGCAGAAATGGAGGGACGACATCGTCAAGATGATGGAAGGTGTTGCTCTAGAAGACAGCAGTGACGAGGGTTATGAAAGCCCCATCGAGAGCCCCAAGAAGAAGAAGCCCACAAGTCGGAAACCAGCTAAGGAGAAGACACCAGAGACTGAGCCAATCCCGAATGTCAAGCAGATCCGTGAGCAACGCAAAGCCTTCGCCGAACGCAAGCACGCCATAGCCGAAGCCTTCCTCATCGAGCTCGACACCACAATCTCCTCAGGTCGCATCCACGAGCTCTCGAAACCCACAGGTGGTATCAAGCTCGTCTGGTCCAAGACCCTCAAAACAACGGCCGGTCGTGCGAATTGGCGTAGAGAGCAAATACGCATCCGAACCGGTCCCCTGCCCACCGACACGCGCGTTGAGATCCGACACCACTGCTCCATCGAACTCGCCGAGAAGGTCATTGACGACGAGGAGAGACTCTACAACGTACTCGCGCACGAGTTCTGCCACCTGACCACGTTCATGATCAGCGAAATCCGTAACAACCCTCACGGAGCAGAATTCAAGTCGTGGGGTCGCAAAGCTACCGTTGCGTTCGCGAGCAAAGGAGTCGAGGTCACCACAAAGCACTCTTACCAGATCGAATACAAGTACGTTTGGGAGTGCGTCTCCTGCGGCTACGAGTTCAAGCGTCACTCCAAGTCCGTCGACCCTGCGCGCCACTCGTGTGGAAAGTGCAAGGGCAAGCTCGCGCAGACTAAGCCCACCCCCAGGGGCGGTGGCGCCGGTGCTGCTGTGGGCAAGGACGGCAAGAGAGAGAAAAGCGAATACCAGGTCTTTGTCAAAGCCAACTTTGCGCGTGTCAAGAAGGAGCTTGAGGCGGAGGGCAAGGATGCGCAGATGGGCAAGGTGATGGAGGCTGTGGCCAAGCAGTATAGAGAGAGGAAGGGTGCGAGTAGTATTAAGGGGAAGGAGATCATTGATCTAGAAGCTGCTCTGGATGACATGAAGATCTAGTCCTGATAGCACATGAATGAAGTGTATGAATAATGCCTATCAAAGCACTAGTTGTTCTTCTGTGTTTATCAATTTGTTTGCATGGTGTGAAACAGTGAAAGAGACGATGGCAGTGCGAGTAGTCTAGTAATGGGCCTTGTATGGCTATCGGAACTGGAAATCAAACTCACCGTGGTCTCAATACGCTGCACTAGCTGAAGACTACAGTAAGAAGCTGAGGTTTATCAATGTTGATCATAGGTGAGGTGAGTTGAGTTATACATTGGTTTGTGTTAGGTTATTAGTGTCCAGTGGAGGTGAGCTTTATGTATCCAGTGGTGTAGCAGTAGAACGTAGATACTTCGAGCGAGGACTGACATCTTCCAGCTCACTCGATCATTCCCCGCTCCGACAAAACAAAATGGTACTATAAGCTCCTCACTACACTATGTCCACACGATCAGACAGCACTTATCATATCCCAGCTATACCGCCATCACCATCATACTAGCGTCGCCTCTGCGTCTTAGGGGTCGTTATCACCCACATCCTTGTCCCCGTCTTCGCCTTTTCCCGCAGGCCTGTTCCTATGCTCATCTGTATATAGGTTTTGGTTCTGATCCTGGACCTGGTCATGGGCATTCGCCGCGTTCTGGCCGTAGAAGCTCCATACCACATTCTCCCAGTGGTCTGCAGTAATCGTCTTACCAGCAAACATCTTGAGCATGTATGAGAACTCGTCGTCAGAAAGATTACCCTGAGGGGGCACATAGGAGGACCCATCAGCTGCAGGGGTGTGCGAATCTGCAGATGGCGCATCGGGTGTCTGTGGGCGAACTCGCTGCAGTGTGTTTTGATACTCCAGATGGTTGACGGACTCTTTGAGACTGATGTAGAGTTGGTTCATGGCGTCGACCATGTCGCGGGTGTCGATCTGTTGATCTTCTAGCGCTTTGATGCGGGCTTCCATATCGCTGTTCGCTGCAGTCCCGGTAGTAAGGGGTCCAACACCTGTATCATGGTCTGTTGAATTGGGACGAGAGGGTTCCACGTGAGGTTCCTTCTGCTCTTCTTTCTTCTCCTTATCTACATGGGGAACGAAGTTGACTGTCTCGCCGTCTGTAGTCTGGATTTGGATAGCGCGTGAAGAGCGTTTGGGCTGCGAAGTAGCTGTCATACGGTTCGATTGACCAGCTTGGTTCTGAGCCGCGTAACGAAACAGATCTCTAGAGGAAGAGCTTGATGGGGAAGAGCGAGTGGGCAGAGACATCCTTGAAGCCTCGTCCACCGCGCGACTAGCTTGTTGTCCGGTCCGCAGACCAGAGAGCTCGTCCATTGCTTGGTCGCCGTCATGCTGAGAGCCTTCATTTTGGGGTATGTTAAGGCTTGGTGGAAATACGGCACTTGGTCGAGGTTGAATGATTGTGTTTCCATGTACACCAATTGTCAACCTGCCGTTGAAGTCCTCGCCAGATGGCCCCCTGCCAATTGCACTGTTGAGTCCCATCCTTCCAAACTGAGATAAGCCGTCATTGACGGAAGGGCTGCGATCTGGCGCGGGTCCTACAGCGCCACTGTTGTGCCCACCGCGGTTGTTAGTGCGCTCAGTTCTGTTCGAGCCTCTGCCTCTTCCCTGTTTTCCCCTTCCGGACTCATTGCGACGGCCACGCGACTGTGTATCGCGAGGGCCCGTAGGCGCGTTTGCTGGTGGGGCGGGGGGATCTGGTTCATTCTCGCTATTCGCGCCGCCTGGAGCCCACTTTGAGCTGTTCATAGTCCTTGTGTTGTGATTCCGCGTGGATTTGTGCTTGTGTGTCAAAGAGCGTGACTGATCCGAGTTGGAATGCGGGATGAGAGCCCGAGCTGATGCCTACTGTAGGGAAGAGCAATCGCGTCAAGGAGAGCAAGCAGATTTGCTCAAGCAAGCAGTGCGAAAGGAGTGCAAAATAAAGCACGAGACTGCAAGTGTAGCTCACAGTGCGTAGAAACAGTCAGCAGGCTCGCGCTTTGAGTTAGCGCAGGGAAACGATACGTCAGTTCAGCTCGCGTTTGCTGTGTCGTGTGCGCACTCTTATTTTGCCATCAGGATTTTGTAGAACTAACGGGTCGAGGTTGGATAGACATAGACAAGGGCCTTAGATCGACTATCGGATTCTGTGGGTAAGTAAATCTGATCTCTCCACTTGTTTCTCATGTGCGTTGTATTCTTGCATGCGAATGCAATCCATATGTATTCATCTATCGTTCCCTCGTATTATGTTCATGTACCAGCCACCTCTTTGTGTCCTTTTCTCAACATCTTCTTGCTATACTCATCTTCTGTTCCTAAACTCTTTCCCTACAAAGCAATAGCAAAACCCACAGCTACAACCGCAGTGCTAATCGCCGTCCACAATGTCCTGCCACCAATCATGGCGCCACTCGCGTCACCCGAAGCAGGGTCGCTCGAGCCCTCACCATCTCCCGTTGGGCTCGGCCTCGGGGGTGGGAAGCTTGTGTTGGACGGCACGTCGGTAAGGTTCTGCACGGTGATCCAGGTCGCCGCCAGAGCAGTCGTCAGGTTCGCGTCAGCTGCAAACTGGCTGACATTGAAGCCGACCCTGTTGTCCGCCAGGTTCTCGTACATGGAGGGTATGCTGAAGTTGCGCGGTTGCTGCATGAGGATGAATGTGTAGCTGTGGGGGCTGTCACCCACTGGAGGTGAGGGCTGGAGGTATGGGACGGGGTTGTCCGACGGAATGTCGAGGGCTGAGCCAGTTGTGTTCGCGGAGATGGGAACAGAGCGCGTGACGTTCGTAGCGATCCAGTGTACTAACTGGACGCGTGAGTTGTTACGGGGCACGTCGAGGTCGACCATGAGGAGGACGCATTGGCCGGGGCCTCGCTCGTCGGAAAACCATACTGGCGACGAGACGGTTGGGGGTGCTGCGGTTTCTGGTGGTGATGAGTGTTAGTTGGTGTTTAGCAGTACTCGGCTCGACTGCGCCGCGACGACAGCGGATGGAACGTACCGGGACGAGGAATGCGCTCTCCGCCGGGCGACACGGTATTGTTGCCGTACGTCACGGTCAAGTTCTGAGTGACGTCGATGGGAAAGCCAGGCGCTGATCCCGCTGTCGCGACACCTGCGAGTAGCGCAGTCGCGCTGAGAATGGTCTTGGTGAACATGGTCGGTCTCTTGGCTGGTGTGGTAGTCGGCGTTGTTGTGGAGCGGGTCGTACTGTTGTGATGCAGTTGGTGCTTGATGGTCGAAAAGCAACGGGCGCAAGCAGCTTCTTTAGTATTCTGGCGTGAACCTGCGTCGGCTGCGGGAGCTCAGGGCTTGATGCGCAGCTAAAGGCCTATTTCCGTGTAGCCGGAGTGACAGCAGAGGTTCATGACGTTTACCAAGACTCGGTCCCTTGCTCGGGGTATCGCACGGCCAGCGGACGGCATCCCGGCACAGCTCGAGAAAAGGCTGGGGCTGGCCGCCTGAGGGGCCTTGTTCATGCCGCAGCCAGAATCATTCCAAGCATCGCGCTGGTCGCCTCGGCCTCAGGAATATCGTTAATCGAATTTACCATGTTGTCCGCGAGTGTATGTAAGCACGCGTCGTTATTTGGTTGCGGTTGCGACGCATGCTCGCTAAGTCGGGGCCAAAGAGACGGGAGCCGGCTGAACATCCAGCTATTCAGGCCGCCCTCATCGCACGATGCCTGCAATTAAGCCACGCATGAATCAAGTAAGCCTGAGATTTGTCTATGCTCTATGGTTTCGAGGCCTTGCATCCTCACATGGTCTTATCGGCGGCAGCCCTATCACCCCTCGCTCGGGATGCAGACGTTATGTCTGCACAAGCGCAATGGTATCAGAAGCCGCGCCCCATCACCAATCCTCCAGGGCTATTATAAGGTGATCATGTGGTCTCGCGCAGGGCCGACACCAATCCATTTGACCTTGACTCCGACAAACTTCTCAATGTACTCAATGTAACTCCTCGCTTGGCTGGGCAGGTCGTAGTAGCTTGTCACGCCAGTCGTCGGCTTCTTCCAACCTGGCAGTGTATCGTATTGTACTTCGACTTGGGCAAGGATCTCGGGGTTCGCGGGGAAGCCTTCAAGCACCTCGCCCTTGTACGAGTAGGATGTCGCAACCTTGAGCTCGTCAAAGTCGTCCAGAACGTCGAGCTTGGTGAGGTTGATGGCGGTGTAGTCGTTGCACGCGTGTGAGTGCTTGACAACGACCAGGTCGAGCCAGCCGCAGCGGCGCTTGCGACCGGTTGTAACGCCGACTTCATGGCCTACTGACTGAAGCTTCTCGCCCACCTCGTTGAGCTGCTCGGTAGGGAAGGGTCCGCTACTACTTGTTAGCCTCTGAATTTGTCTTTCGGTGCGATGCAACTCACGATCCGACACGGGTAGTGTATGCCTTGACCACGCCAATGACCTCCTTCAGTGACCGCCATCCCAAGTTGAGACCTGTGATGACACCTCCAAGACCAGTGTTTGATGATGTGACGAAGGGGTATGTGCCGTAGTCGATGTCCAGCATCAGCGCGTTCGCACCCTCGACGAGGATTTTGGCGTTCTTCTCCTTTGCCGATGCGAGGAGCGGGATCTGGTCGACGACGTAGGGAGCAAGCTTCTCGCGCAGAGTCTTTGACATTGTCAGTCTTTGTCCCGTATATTCCAACGCCGTTGTGACTCACCTTGTACTTCGTAATCTCCTCTTCCACATCGTACTTGAGCAGATCGCCATATCGCTTCTGGAACGAGTTGGCTAACCTCCTGAGCTTCGTCTCGAAGATCTGCTCATCGAAGAGGTCGCACATGCGGAGGCCGCTCCTGGTCATCTTGGTGCTGTAGGTTGGGCCGATACCCTTCTTGGTCGTGCCTGCATCCCGCCATCAGCACGTCAGTCCCGCAGCAGGCGCGTGTGCTCCTCACCAATCATGCCACCGCCCAATTCCACCTCCTCCAGGCCATCCACCATCTGGTGCACGTCAAACACGACATGGGCGCGGTCCGAGATGAATATTCTTCCGTCTGTCTTCAATCCGTGTTTCTCCAGCGCTTCCAGCTCCTTGAAGAAACTGGGAACGTGAACGACGCAGCCACTTCCGATGACATTGATGCAGCCAGGGTTCACGAGACCGCTCGGGAGAATATGGAAATCGTACGTGACGCCGTTCGCGACAATGGTGTGTCCGGCGTTGTTACCGCCCTGGGCGCGGGCGCAGATTTGCGACTCATGGGCTAGGATATCGGCCAATTTTCCTTTTCCTTCATCTCCCCACTGTGCTCCGAGCACCACAGTAGTCGACATCGTGAAGGCGAGAGACAAGAAGGAAAGGGTGGACGGGGCGGCAGGTGGGTTTTCAATTCCGCGTTGACTCGATCTAACAAATTCGTGCCCCACCCATCACCCCGCGATGCCGCAATTTTCCGCACGAGCCACCAGTGACGCACCTGGGCATGTGAATGAGCCGCAGGATCCCATATGTCTGGGTCTTTCCGGGTTGATCTGCAGTCATCGCAATCACAGTTCATACATTGGTGTATAGCTACGTTGTTATCGTGGTAAACGCATCAAGGAATTAAGAAATTTCATTCTCATATCTACAAACACTCCAAGTGGAAATTGAGTCACATCCATACCTATCCTCCTAACCGCGCCAAACACCCGGACCCGGCGGCTGATATGTCTCTGGTGCCGATGTGTACTTGTTCAGGTCGACGAGAATCCCCGGGTCGTTACTTCTGCGGCCCACGTTAGTATGTCTCTGATACTCATCAGTTTTACTTACTTGTAAGCACCCGGGAACGCAACTAGCGGGCTCGGCAGCCTAGCTCCTCCCCCTGTTATCTTGATCTGCGAGCAAGCCAGGTAGAACTGCGCTTTGTTCGCTTGCATAGCCATATGCAGTGCGATGTGCTCAACGCGGAGCAAGTAGTCGCCCGAAGGCGTGGCAGCAGGGATTGTTGTGTTGGGTGTGAGATACTCGTCTGCAAAACGTCATTAGTAAACGCGAAGTGAAGAGAAGGAATAGCTTACTCTGTCCTGGCCAGCTCATCTGCTTCTGCGCGTTTACGCTCGGCATCGTGGTACTGATCTTGAACCACACTGCACCACTCCCGTCCCAGCTCTTCAGATCCTTGCCATCGGGAACTTTGGCGAGGTAGTATTGCGTTGGCCCCGGGTGATTAACCTGCTGCGTGGATATGTAGTGAATAGTCGATCCGGCCGGTACGCTTGCGACGTTTGGCGCGGTTTTTGACGTGTAGCAGCGAATGTCCGCGACCGTGGGGTTCTGGTCAAGTAAACATCCTAGACAGTAGTAACTCGAACACTATCTTACCTCAATCCCTTGCTTGGTGTTTGCATTCTTGGTCTCGCGGGTCGAAGCCCAGTCTTTATCTTCTGGCTTGCCGTTTACGACAAGACGTGGGAAGGTATCTATTCGTATGAGATTCGTGTCACTGAAAATCATTTGATGTTAACTCACAATGTGCCTTCACCACCGTGGCGGCTACCAGGAGTGCAATCAGTATCTGCATGATGAGGGATCAGATCTTTGGGCCTGAGAAGCATCCAGCTCTCGCTTGACATCTTATGTATGCTCCATGACCCCAGTTCCAAATCGGACATGTGAGCTGAGTTGGGAACTATCGGTAAATTAGCTTGGCGGTTTGACATACACCGAAGTAGTCTACTGCAGACCATACACACATCGCAATATACCATCATCGACAAAAAAAACCAATAGACATCAGCCTTCTTATAAATCATGTGCCAGGGTCTAGCATCTGCCGAAACAAAGCAGTCCAATGACAAGACCGCATATTGCCAGTAGCTCATAAGATCAATCGTAGAGTTCACCATCACAATGAATAATCGGAGAGATTAGATGCCCATGTATATTGGACAAGCTGTAAGGGAAAAGTTGAATTCCCATATGCCCTACGCTAACATCGAGCAAACTAAAAACGAACGAAGTGTTGAGGTCGTATCGAATCGTAAACACACACGTCTAGTGCATGTAGCGGAACTCAGGGTGTCTGTATCCGAGATCCTTGATCTGAGCAGCGGTCTTGCCGACCAAGCGGTGGTCTCGCCTGCCCATATCACGCTGCTTGTTCTCCCACTTGCAGTAGCAGATACCAAATATGGCGAGAATACAGACGCAACACTGACCAACCAAGTTGATGGTGTGGCCGATTGGGTATCGTGGCGCGTCAGCACTTGTGTAGGTCCTGTAATGTATTAGCCTAGGATCTGATTCGATTCTTCACATGATCTGACGTACCAAGTCGCGAGAATACCTCCAGCGGTACCCAGTGTGACAACGTAAGCAGTCGAGACGGAGCGGATAGCAGGGCCGGCCGCATTGTTCGCCGCCCACGCAAGGAAACCAGGACCTCCGGGAAATGCACCAATGGTGATCAAGAAGATACCGCCGTATCGGACGTTAGGGTCGGTCGCCCATCGCATGATCGAGAAGCCCGCAATGGCCGGGAGCGTAAAGACAGCGAGGTAAACACCACGGCGGTTCGTCTTGTCTGATGCGAAAGCTATTGCGATAGCGATCAAGCAAGCACATACATAGGGAGGTACTGAGTAAAGTTGTGCCTTTGTGGCCGTCCATCCGAGATCCCTGAGGATAGTGGGCTAGTAATGTATGTTAGTAAACCATAGGTTATGGGGAGGATATCGGCTTACCATGAAGAGTGAGATACCCTGTACAGTGATGTTGATGAAGAAGAAACCAAAGGCACAGAAGTAGTTTGTGATGTTCATCACGGCCCGCTTGACGTGGTGTACTTCAGTCTTTTCGTTCTCATCAGCTCCTCCTTTCAGCACCAGTCTCTGTGTGGCAATCATTCGTTCGCGCTCGTTCAAGAACCAGCATTCTTCTGGGCTACGAGGCATAAGAAAGGGAGCAGCAAGGCCGACAATGACGGTAAAAAGTCCCTCAAAGAAGAAGATGTTGCGCCATGTGTGGAGAATCATGGTCGAAGCTCCCCATGGTGGAATACGAGCGAGACTGTAATGCAATTAGTTTTCCATGTAATCTCAAGAATTTGAAAGGACCTACGCAGTAGCGAGTAGCCCACCAAAAGCTCCAGCCATTGAGGCCGCGGAAACGTAGATACCGATGCGGAACAAAAGTTCGTTGCGCTTGTAGAAAC